AATGTGATTGACAAGGTTCAGAAAAAAACATGGCAGAAATGCAGATCATGCTAATGAAATGTCAAGCTTTCATCACAAGTACCAAGGTTTGCCCAAAGGATCACAGACCCTCTTATACTGGATAATGCTCTTCATATACTCACCCATTTCTGGTGTCCCCCGCCGTGATATAGCTGGAATATTGCTAAAAGTGATGTAAAACTAGACTCACTCACTCACTCTTCATATACACCAAAAAGTGATCTGTGAGGACGTGGCACCGCTTCCTTTACATTCGCTCTCTAGTCTGCATGTAATGAGGGTGATCATGCTGTTGATCACTGGATTGTCTGGTCCAGACTCGATTATTTACAGACCGCTGCCATATAGCTGGAATATTGCTGAGTGCGGCGTAAAACTCAACTCACTCACTCACTCACTGTAATGAGGGTGAAGGCTCTGAGCTGATAATGAAATCAAACAGGCTTCATGTCAGTCTCGAGGCAGCAGGGTAGCCTATTGGTTAAAGTGTTGGCACATCACGCTGAAGATCCAGGTTTGATTCTGCACATGGGTACAATACATGAAGCTCATTTCTGGTGTCCCCTGCCATGATATTGTTGGAATATTGCTAAAAGTGGCTTAAAACCATACTCACACACTCATATTAGTCTCATTCAAATACCTGTTGTCTTAACATATCAATCTTATATACTACAGCCACTCAATTGCACCCCACACCAATCAAGCTTATCTATTGTTCTGATAACCCTCATTTCCTATTGATGAGACTCCTTAAGCAATTTGCCTTCTTACTCAAACAAGGTAAATCTTAAAGACAATTTATCTTTCGGGAAATCTAATTTGAATAGCCAATAGCTGTCTAGCCTCTGAAGGCGAGTATTTCACTTAGCTAACTTTATTTGATTATTGACGAAGACAATTTCACGTTGACTCCCCAAATAAAGGATGTGTATAGGTCAGCATTGCATCAGAGCTTCGGTAATGCCATTAGTCTTCTCGTCCACTTCTTATTTTCGCTTACATCTTGGTTTTGGTGTGATCTGATTCTGACATGACTTGATTACAGGGGGATAATGGCATTACGAAGCAGGCTAGTCTTGCTCTAGATAAAATATGCAGCAGATATGTACCTTGTGAGTTGCTGAAGGGGCTGGTGTGTCAATTGTGGGACATTTTGGTCCCGTCTGTCACGTTTCTCAGTGCAGAGAGTTCTCACTGACAACTTTAGACAGGCAATAGGAGCTTGTGTGTCAGCTTGAGTTGTGTGGTATTCAGGATGCTAAAAGGTTGTTTGATTTTTGTGTCTGTTTATTACTGTTTTATGGTTATTAGTTTCTGACTGTCAAGCAAATTGTTGCTTTGAAAGTGATTGTTGTCACTTTTGGAACAGGGAATCATTTCTTGGTGTAGATGAGTTCATGTATGTGTTGGTATGCAGAGGTCTTGTGAGAAGGGCATCTGCACCTCAACTCCATGCAGTCTTACTCCAGTTTTATATAACTGCACCACATCCATATAAACCAACCCCATCAACGTATCCACACCACATAACCTCACCACATACACCAGACACCACATAACCAGCCTCACCACATAACCTCACCTAACACCACATACACCCATACACCAACCAGCCTCACCACATAACCTCACCACATACCTAACACCACATGCACCCACCTCACCACATACACCCAGCCTCACCACATACACCCTCACCACACATACCTCACCACATACACCTCACCACAACCTCACCCATAACCTCACCACATACACCTCATACACCTCACCACATACACCCAACCTCACCACATACCACCCAGCCTCACCACATCACACCCACCACCTCACCACATAACACTCATAACTCTCATACATACACCCCATAACCTCACCACATACACCCAACCTCACCACATAACCTCACCACATACACCTCACCACATAACCTCACCACATACACCACACCACATACACCCAACCTCACCACATAACCTCACCACATACACCCAGCCTCACCATGCATAACCTCACCACATACACCCAGCCTCACCACATAACCTCACCACATAACCTCACCACATACACCCAACCTCACCACATACACCCAGCCTCACCACATAACCTCACCACATACAGCCAACTGCACCACATAACCTCACCACATACAGCCAACTGCACCACATAACCTCACCACATACAGCCAACCTCACCACATAACCTCACCACATACAGCCAACTGCACCACATAACCTCACCACATACACCCAACTGCACCACATAACCTCACCACATACAGCCAACTGCACCACACAACCTCACCACATACACCCAACTCTCACCACATAACCTCACCACATACACCCAACTGTCACCACATAACCTCACCACATACACCCAACTGCACCACATAACCTCACCACATACACCCAACTGCACCACATAACCTCACCACATACACCCAACCTCACCACATAACCTCACCACATACAGCCAACTGCACCACATAACCTCACCACATACACCCAACCGCACCACATAACCTCACCACATACAGCCAACTGCACCACATAACCTCACCACATACAGCCAACTGCACCACATAACCTCACCACATACAGCCAACCTCACCACATAACCTCTCCACATACAGTGAAACCAGCCAACATTGGCACCTGTCTAATCCAGCACACTGTCAAAACTGGCATACAATTTTGGTCCCGCCATTTTACAACGATATTATGATCATTAAAGCATTGTCTAATCCGGTACCTGTCTAGTCCGTATTCCAGCACGACTTCCAATCAAGGACCCATAATCAAATACACTCCTTTCGGGACGCTAGATTGAGAAACTGACGAGTGTAAATGGCAGCCATGTTGGAAAATGATCGTCACTGTCTAATCCAGCACCCTGTCTAAACCGGCTTTATATTTCTGTCCCGTGGGGTGCTGGTTTAGACAGGTTTCACTGTACACCCAACCTCACCACATCCACAGAACCTCACCACATGCATATAAACTCACATTACCGCATACACCAAACCTCACCTTGTACATTATATCCTGATGTCGATCTGTAAGTGGGGCTACCTTCTCTGCTGGAATAGGTCACTGCTAACTTGCTTGACCGATGCTTCAGTTCAAGATGCTTCAGTTCAAGATGATTATTTACAGACTACCACCATATAGCTTGTTAGGGCTGAGTGTGTGTAATTTACAATAGCTAGTAATGGTAATTGTCACAGATGGACGCCATGAATTGACTACGCCGGACTACGCCAAGTAGTCTCCACATGATTTCAGACTAGAGGTTAATGTATGTACATTCTACACAAGAAAAACAGAATGAGTCCGTTGGAAAAGAAAAAACTGCATTTAGTCATAATATATAGAGATCTATATAACGCCAATATCCATATGTATCTTGCTCAAAGGCGTTTTCGTATAAATCTGACAAGGAAAGACTGACTGACTGAGTTTAGTTTTACGCCGCTTTCAGCAATATTCCAGCAATATCACGGCGGGGGACACCAGAAATGGGCTTCACACATTGTGCCCATGTGGGGATTCGAACCCGGTCTTTGGCGTGACGAGCCAACGCTTTAACCACTAGGCTACCCCGCCACCCCGACAAGGAAAGAGTCACTTGGAACTGTAATATGATTTGAAAAAGAATGTTTTTAACATTATCTTAAATATACACATTTCCTCTGCACTTTTAATGCCCAATGGGATGTTGTTCCAAAGCATAGGACCTGCTTTTGAAAAAACATCTGTCTCCAAATGTCTTCGTCCTCGTACGTGGCTAGTAGCTGGGCACTACAAGAACGCAGGGAACGGGACGGATGATGGCACTGAACCAATTCGTTGATGAACGATGGGCCAATACAATGAACAGGAAAAACAGTATGAGTCTGTTGGGAAAAAAACTGCATTTAATCCTGGTAGAATGGAGACAAACCATTTTATGTTACGTCCTGCTAAAACATTCAGTTGTAAATTACCCTAGTCGATGCAAAAAGAAATTGAACCTGCTCAAAATTAGAAGACAGAATATTAGGGCTGGCTATCGATATATATCATAAAACCGATAATCGTTAACTAATTATCAACTGATTATTGATAAATATCGAAGAAGTAACTTCGAGCAGAAATGCCCAAAATATCTGAAAGAAATTAATATGTTTCACACCCCTGGTGAGAGGTGACATGTTTTTGCATGGATTATTTACAAAACAGCGTCCTGAACAATAATTTATAAGGCAGGGATTTACAGGACGCAAATTCCTGCATCCTATACATAAAAATTGACAATGGACGCAACAAAATTTATTAGCGCATCCAGAAGGATGCAGAAAAATTCCAAATACTTTTTGTCAAAATTCCAATCAAGTAACAATAAGTTATCACTGAGTTTGCTACAAGCTGAGTTATGGAATCATTTGCAGTTTAATTACTGTAACAATTAAAGTGTTGATCATGATACACAATACAATAACAGTATTAGTAATAATACTTAAGTGTCTGGGACCCCCATTTTGTTGTCCAGGGCCCCGTTCCTCAAAGCGATCGTAGCGCTACAACAGTCGTAAGTCTATGTTAAAGTATGGGAGTTACGATCAACTTTGCGCTACGATCGCTTTGAGGAACGGGACCCAGGACCCCTGAAAATTATAAGCATGAGTCCCAGGGACCTCGAATACAGGACTCAAGGTAAATCCCTGAGAAGGAGCCTAAATCTTTGTATATTGTGTGATTAAATTAAAACTTTTTTCAATCACATAAGTTTATGTGCATCATTATCTATGACACATATCATATCGATAATCATTAATTAGTTTACTATTTACGATATTTCTGATTTTCAATCTTTTTGGCAAGTTTTACAGAATATTTTTAATTCCTATATAGCTTCATTTCAGGAAAGTTTTTCTGTTGTCTCTGAACTGTTGGTACAGGCTGAGTATAACCATGTACACATTTTACTTACAGACACTGGGCGTAGCTGTGAAAAGTCCCAACAGGACCATCGACAGCGCTGTGAGTGGCTTACGGCAGGCGTTCGCCAGGGTCCTCAACTGGCCCATAGACAACATCAGAGTAGATCGCATCAGTGTAAGTGTTTAATTATTGCAGAATATATCGGAGGGAATATTGTGTCTGAACACACCATATTATTGATCAGACTGTCTTCAATGACTTGATAAGGGGTGGTAGGGTAGCCTAGTGGTTAAAGCGCTGGCTCGTCACGCCGAAGACCCGGGTTCGAATCCCCACAAGGGTACAATGTGTGAAGCCCATTTCTGGTGTTCCCCGCCGTGATGTTGCTGGAATATTGCTAAAAGCGGCGTAAAACCAAACTCAGTCAGTCAATCAGTCAAAGACTTGATAAACAATGGTGTGTTGTTTAACACCAGGTGTGGAAGAATTGTGGGGCATGGTTTCCTATCCCAGTGTTTGTTTACATTAATACCTTCTTTAATTAAGGTCATGAAAATATTTCTTTGATGAAATAAACAAGTCTCGCATTTAGTGGTTTTCATTTTGAAGGAGCTGTTGAATTTCAGTTACGGTTATTTTGAATTTTGTCTCAATAAATATATCTCTTCTACTAATACATGCGGGGACTATGGAAGTGGGAAGGTAGCCTAGTGGTTAATGTGTTTGCTCATCATGCCAAAGGCCTGGGTTGCAATCCCTTTTCGGTTCAATACGTAAATCCCATTTCTGGTGTAAACCACAGTAATATCGATGGAATGGTGCTTAGCCATTATTACCCAATCACTGTAAAAATGGTTAAAAAGTATGGTTCTGATATTTTTGCTCTTCAAATACCAGGGCCTCCTTTCACAAAGCACTAAGGTGATCGTAAGTCACTAAGGTAACCTTAGTACAATGTTAAAGAATGGGAGTTAAGGTTAACCTTAGTAAAGGTTGCTCCGTGAAAGGAGCCCCAGAAAGTAAGTTTGATTCCTTAACTTCTAACACCACATGCATGAAAGCATGTGAATCAGGTGATCACAGTGCGTGATATGAGTGTGTGATACGAGTGCATCTGTGTCACAGTGACCCACTGCATGGGTTATTAATCCTGCTGCAGTCACTGGTGCATGTTGTTGTCACTATTATTTATAAGCCACCACAATGAGGATACAGCTGTACTGACTTCGGCAGGAGTCAGTCATTTATTCACTCATCCTTATGAAAACCTTGATGAGGGAAAGAGGTACAATTTATGACAGATTATGTATCAAGGACTCGTAGGGCCAAAGCCTGGAACAAAACTATATGTGTTATATTGAACAAACTTTATGGATGACAACTTCTTTTATTTTGTGAGTGTGACCTTTCATGAGTTTCGTTACAGATACTTGTACCATTGTCAGGAAATAAAGGAAGTTGTCATCCTTGAATTTTGTTCAATATTGTATTTCCCAACTTCTAAAATGCCACTCAAAGTACTTAGATACGTGTTAATAATGTCTGTTTGTGATATTAACCCAACCAAGGCAGTTTTCAGTCAGAAGGCAGTGTCGTCCCCTTGTACTTCCATGTTTCAGTTGGCAGACAGTGTCGGCACCTTGTACTTCCTTGTTTCAGTTGGCAGACAGTGTCACCATCTCGTACTTCCTTGTTTCAGTTGGTAGGCAATGTCACCACCTTGTACTTCCTTGTTTCAGTTGGCAGGCAATGTCATCAGCTTGTACTTCCTTGTTTCAGTTGGCAGGCAATGTCATCAGCTTGTACTTCCTTGTTTCAGTTGGCAGGCAATGTCATCAGCTTGTACTTCCTTGTTTCAGTTGGCAGGCAATGTCATTGTTTCAGCTTGTCACTCATTCAGTTGGCAGGCAATGTCATCAGCTTGTACTTTCAGTTGGCAGGCAGTGTCACCACCTTGTACTTCCTTGTTTCAGTTGGCAGGCAATGTCATCATCAGCTTGTACTTCTTTGTTTCAGTTGGCAGCTTGTACTTCCTTGTTTCAGTTGGCAGGCAGTGTCACCACCTTGTACTTCCTTGTTTCAGTTGGCAGGCAGTGTCATCAGCTTGTACTTCCTTGTTTCAGTTGGCAGGCAGTGTCACCACCTTTTACTTCCTTGTTTCAGTTGGCAGGCAATGTCATCAGCTTGTACTTCCTTGTTTCAGTTGGCAGGCAGTGTCACCACCTTGTACTTCCTTGTTTCAGTTGGCAGGCAATGTCATCAGCTTGTACTTCCTTGTTTCAGTTGGCAGGCAATGTCATCAGCTTGTACTTCCTTGTTTCAGTTGGCAGGCAGTGTCACCACCTTGTACTTCCTTGTTTCAGTTGGCAGGCAATGTCATCAGCTTGTACTTCCTTGTTTCAGTTGGCAGGCAATGTCATCAGCTTGTACTTCCTTGTTTCAGTTGGCAGGCAATGTCATCAGCTTGTACTTCCTTGTTTCAGTTGGCAGACAGTGTCACCACCTTGTACTTCCTTGTTTCAGTTGGCAGGCAATGTCATCAGCTTGTACTTCCTGCAAACTGGGAGTGTGGATGACTTCTTCCAAACATCAGATCTCATCCCGGCTGCGATGGTCCTACAGCCGGGCATGCTGGCCTCCGTCCAGAAGGAGGCTCCGCAACTCAACATCACACGTATCATGCAGGACGTAAGCACACTATACCTACAAACCTATACTTATAATACTTAGTCACTTATCTGCCCATGTAAGTTTTATACATGAATGCACAATGTTTTGTTTTGGGTGGGTGGTTGGTTGGTTTGTTGTGTAATGCCACACTCAGCAATATACCAGCTGGTGGAGGTCTGGACCAGACAATCCAGTGACTGACATCATCAGCATCGATCTACAGTTGGGATACAATGACATGTGTCATGTGTCCTAACCACCCGATCTCATTAGATGTGGGGGGCTGTGGGGTAGTCTAGTGGTCAAAGCGTTCGCTCGTCACACCGAAGACCCGGGTTCAATTCCCCACTTGGGTACAATGTTTGAAGCCCATTTCTGGTGTCCCCCGGCGTGATATTGCTGGAATATTGCTAAAAGCGGCGTAAAACCAAACTCACTCACTCACTCATTAGACTTGGGTTCCTGAAGACCACTTCTAACCTGGATCTTCACTGGTCTTTATGTTTGGGGATTTTTGAAGAGCAATTAAGTGTTGACTTGGTTGACCCATTTCATCGAATCGCTGTTGTGTACATAATGTGTATAATGTGTAATGTGTATGCTCATAATATCAATCACTGGATTTTCTGGTCCAGATTCAATTACATGCAGACTGCTGTCAGAAATATGGCAAGAATAATTCCGAGTGCTGCGTTACACATCATACAAACAACAAAATTAAAGTCTAATTTTAGGAATTATTCATGAATACCAGTTGTGATTTTGGTGTGTTTGGGTGTGTATTACAGCACGGCATCTACAGTCATCCGTATGACGTACCTCCCATCTGGTCACAGCCCTACTTCCCCTATATCATCGCTGGAGCTGGCGTCATCTTCTTTCTTATGTTCATCCTCCTGGTGAGTAGCGCTTTGTGTTGCTATGGCAGCAGTAATATGTGCTAGTGTTGGTTTAGTTCTCATGATGTGGATGAAACTTTGTTATGGCAGCAAAGCATGTTGTAGATCATGAGTGGATAAATTTTCACCTTTTATTCATCACTTTTAAATGCCATTCAGAGACCTTCAGTGTGGAAATGTTAAACGAAACATTAGGGACTGTTTATACAATTTATACAATGTGTGAAGCCCATTTCTGGTGTCCCGTGACATGATATTGCTGGAATATTGCTAAAAGTGGCTTCAAAATAAACTCACTCACTCACACATCCTGTTATCACTGAATTACAGACAAAGCCATAACAACATTAACTGCGTTTTGTTTAATTTCCATTTTGGAATCTTTACCGACATTTGCCCCAGATATGGGACCGAATATCAGCCTCAGAGCAGGTGTAAATATATCTGTCTGCAAGGCTCCAGATAAGGGCCGTATCGGCGTATGTACGGATACAAAATATTCATGATACGGTAGGAAATAACTTAGAAAACATAGCAGATACACACCACAGCAATGATGTACGGTCTTTGAATCATTTACAGACGTATTTATCTGAAAAAAGGATTGTTTTATTGTTGTTGTTTGTTTTACCTGTGTACACAAGAGTATCAATGTTGTGGTGCAGATATGAAACAAAACACAAGATCACTGATACTCTATTAAATTCCATTCAGTACTCTAAATGTACTGGATTTTCCAGTATGCCTATATTTAAAAAATACATACTCCTGATGTTGAAAAATGATCTGGAGCCCTGTGTCTGAACTCACTTTCTCATGGAAATATTACCATGTAGGGTGGTTAAAATGGCAGTTGAAGACCTGCTACTAACTGGCACAGTATAACATGTCTGATCTGATCTTGCAGCTATACCTATGCTGCTGTAGAAAGAATGATAAGAAAGAAAAGTTGGACGAGCCTCTGCCGACCCAGCAGATATTCTACCCCACAATCAAGCCCGACGTGAAGGACCCTTTGACCATACAGCCCGAGGGTACTCCAGTTTTTGTTGCCAAGGGCTGCATGACAACCATTCCAGCTCAACCCATGAGGGTCAAGGCCAAAGGTCTTCTTGAAAGGTCAGTGTCGCGTAGGATGATAATTGAAAGATGGCTCGAGGCTGTGGTGTTGTCGTTAGCAACATTGTCCTGGGTCTTTACACTTTGGCGATTTTGTTGAAATAATTATTGGAGTAGGTTGTCATGTGACCGGACTTGTTCAAAGCCATAGTTTGGAAGAGGCATTTATTGAATTTGTCACGTATAATTATGAAGTAGACATTTTCGACACTTTAAATATTCATATGTGACATGTAATTATTTTGACCACTGTTATCTGACAGTGACTGCTGGCTAGTTGTAAAAAACATTTGCTCGTCACACCGAAGGCTCGGGTTCGATTCCTCAAGTGGTTACAATGTGTAAAAAGACCACTCCTGGTGTCCCTGTCGTCCAAAGAGGTTTGAGACCATACTAACCAAGGGGCCCATGTTGGTTGCTGCAAGTTCATGTTTATGAATTTATACCAGGGTACTACAAAAACAACAAACGACACTTAGGGTTCTTGGCAAGGCACAGTGACTTGGCTGATGGCATAGCTTGTACATTGTTTCTCATTGTTCGAAAAAGGACCAAAATAAAGTTCATAGCAGCATTAAACCCAACTAACATACTGAGAAATCACCACCATTTTTAGTTGAGATAATTGGACAAAACTCAAACTTGTTTGCCTTAAACTGTCCTTATAGCTAAAATACCAGGAATTATCATGAAACGGCCTCCTGTTATCAGAAATTTGCAGGCCACTGCAAATGATGTTGGACCGCTCAACCTTAACGACGGGCCACTATCATTTCTGTTGTCAAGTGACGTCATAGGGGTTGTGTGGGCTTACGGTTCATTCGACATTGGCTTTGGACTGGCAGATATTCTGGGTCAAACAAGTGAAAGCAACCTGAATTCCCATTTTAAATAGCGGTAATATTGGCTTTCTTGCTGGTGCTAACCTTAACAATTGCACTATTAACATTGTTGTTGGACCAAAACCGAACTCTGACAACTGACGTTGTGTCTGACATAGTTTGACATGTTGCAGGCTATGATCAAGGTCGAATATCGTCACGTTCCGTGTGACGTCACTTGAATTGTTCGATGTCGAAATTGCATTCGGTCAGTCAACCCTGTCAGAAGTTGGTTTTGAGTAAACTTACAGTCAAATTCCTTCATTATCCCCCGGTATTAAAATGGACTCCGTCCGTGCGTGCGTCCGTCCGTCCGTCCGTCCGTGCACATTTGTCTTTTCCGGAGCAGAACTCTAAAGCCGTTCACTATTTCTTCACCAAACTTGGCACATAGATAGATCTGGTGGTGTACTGGTGCCTTTTGGTAGTTTTGGAATTCTGAATAAAATATTTTTGGCTTTTCCTTGGCAACAAGTTTGACTTAGCCTGAAATTGGTGGTAGTGCACTTTTCCGGAGCTGAACTCTAAAACCGTTCACTATTTCTTTACCAAACTTGGCACATAGATTGGTCTGGTGGTGTACTGGTGCCTTTTGGTAGTTTTGGAATTCTGAATAAAATATTTTTGGCGTTTCCATGGCAACAAGTTTGACTTAGCCTGAAATTGGTGGTAGTGCTCTTTTCCGGAGCAGAACTCTAAAACCGTTCAATGTTTCTTCACCAACCTTGGCACATAGATAGATCTGGTGGTGTACTGGTGCCTTTTGGTAGTTTTGGAATTCTGAATAAAATATTTTGGTATTTCCATTGCAACAAGTTTGACCTGGACTGAAATTGGTGATAGTGCTCCTTTTCTGGAGCAGAACTTTAAAAACCTTTCAATACTCTCCTTCCACTTTTCTATATACACACCTAAATATTTGACATAATCATAACTCGTAGACATAATCATGAAGAGTATGTTGCCATTGCGGGGGATATTGATGACTTTGTCTTCTTGTTGTTTCATTTTTCTTTTCAACACAAATTCCATGTATTTTAGCAATAATAACGTTAATGCTATTTTTGAGGGCATTACCCTTATATTATCATTCATTTGTATTCCTGATCTTTTACCCATGAAGGTCCGGGTTAGAATATATGATCTTCAGTAACCCATGCTTGTTGTAAGAGGCGACTAACGGGATATGGTGGTCAGGCTTGCAGACTTGGTTGACACATGTCATCGGTTCCCTTTTGCGCAGACCGATGCTCCTGCTGTTGATCACTGGATTGTCTGGTCGAGACTCGATTATTTACAGACCGCTGCCATATAGCTGGAATATTGCTGAGTGCGGGATAAAACTGAACTCACTCACTCACTCAAAATATCAATCACTGGATTGTCTGATCCAGACTTAATAATCTACAGGTCACTGGAATATGTCTGGAATGGTGCTGAGTATCACATCAGAACAGAACAAAATTCAGCCTTGATTTTTAAGTATTAAAGTAGTGATTTTTTTATTCAGTAAATCTACACTGTCACAATAAATGCAATAACATGTGTTGAAATTTTTTAATGGATAGAAGGGCAGGTAAAAATATGTTTCACTTATCCAGACAGAAATGTTTCTAGCCATTGGATAGCAGGCAGGCATTGGCAATCTTCATCAAGGCCAAGTAGGGGATAACATTTACCCAGTATCAGGCACTGTAATTGTCTGTCCAGAGTTGGCTCCCTTGGTTAGTTCTTCAACCTATAAATGTTGGTTCAAATCCAGGTTTACCCCAGATATGTTTCAGCACCATAACCATGTTTGTGGGTTTCGCCAATTTTTTCCCACGGTGGGATATAATCGCGTGCGATATAGTCGTCGTCCTCCGTCCGTCCGTCCGTCCGTAATCATTTTGTTTCCGGAGCATAACTCAAAGACCGTTCGATATTTTTTAACCAAAATTGGTAGATATGTCAAACATAACCTAAGGTGGTGCCTTTTGCTAGTTACAGATTATTGTCATTTTTATTTTTCTCGGTTTCCATGGAAACGTTTTGGACTTAGTCTTAAAGAAGGGTGGGCTTCGTTTCCGGAGCATAACTCAAGAACCGTTCAGTATTTTTCAACAAAACTTGGTAGATATATCAAACAGATCCTAAAGTGTTGCCTTTTGCTATTTACAGATTTTTAGCATTTTTATTTTTCCCGGTTTCCATGGAAACGATTCGGACTTAGTCCCAAAAGTGAGGGGTGGGCTTCGTTTCCGGAGCATAACTCAAGAACCGTTCAATATTTTTCAACAAAACTTAGTAGATATATCAAACAGATCCTATAGTGGTGCCTTTTGCTATTTACAGATTTTTAGCATTTTTTCCTTTTCTGGATTGCATGGAAACATTTTGGACTTAGTCTCAAAAAGTAAGGATTGCTTTCGTTTCCGGAGCATAACTCAAGAACCGTTCTATATTTTTCAACAAAACTTGGTAGATATATCAAACAGATCCTAAAGTGGTGCCTTTTGCTATTTGCAGATTTTTGGCATTTTTATTTTTCCCGGTTTCCATGGAATCGATTCGGACTTAGTCCCAAAAGTGAGGGGTGGGCTTCGTTTCCGGAGCACAACTCAAAAACTTCTCAATGTCTTTCAGCAAAACTTGGCAGATATGTGAGGCAGATGCCAAAGTGGTGCCTTTTGCTATTTGCAGATATTTGTGATTTATTATTTTTTCGGTTTCCATGGAAATGATTCAGACTTAGTCTCAAAAGGAAGGGTGGGTTTCGTTTCGAGCATAACTCAAGAACCGTTCAATATTTTTCGACAAGACTTGGTAGATATATCAAACAGAACCTTAAGTGGTGCCTTTTGCTATTTACAGATTTTAGCATTTTACTTTTCCCGGTTTCCATGGAAACGATTCGGACTTAGTCCCAAAAGTGAGGGGTGGGCTTCGTTTCGGAGCATAACTCAAGAACCGTTCTATATTTTTCAACAAAAATTAGTAGATATATCAAACAGATCCTATAGTGGTGCCTTTTGCTATTTACAGATTTTTAGCATTTTGCCTTTTCTGGTTTCCATGGAAAGTCAATGAGGGGTGGGACTCAGTCCCAATATCTTTCAGTGAGGGGCAGATCCCAAAGGGCTTCTATTTGCAGATATTTGTGATTTATTATTTTCTCAGTTTCCATGGAAATGATTCAACTCAAAAGGAAGGGTGGGTTTTGTTTCTCTTAATATCTTTCAGCAAAACTTGGCAGATATGTGAGGCAGATGCCAAAGTGGTGCCTTTTGCTATTTGCAGATATTTGTGTTTTATTATTTTCTCAGTTTCCATGGAAACAATTCGGACTTAGTCTCAAAAGGGAGGGGTAGGTTTTGTTTCCGGAGCACAACTCGAAAACTTCTCTATGTCTTTCAGCAAAACTTGGCAGATATGTGAGGCAGATCCCAAAGTGGTGCCTTTTGCTATTTGCAGATTTTTGTCATTTATTTTTTTCATGATTTCCATGGAAACGATTTGCACTTAGTCTAAAATCAAGCTGGACTTTAAGTAACTGTCAGATGATTTGTTCTTTCAAAGATGTGGGGCCCGGGGGGATATGTCATCTTCTGATGACTCTTGTGTTAACTAGGCCATCATCACTTGTTAGTATTTATTTCACATGAAGCTGACAAGCCCATTTAGAAAAAAGTGATATTAAACCCAACTCGAGCACTCCCTCTATGTAACCCTGTTGGATGCCTTGTTGATGTATTTATCATTAGTACTGTCATTTCCAGTCGACGAGGATCGAACGCTTCCTTAACAATTGATCTCAACCCCTCACCAGAACTAGCGAGATGGGATGGGACACCACCCAAGGAGAGGTAAGTCTTTACTGTTGATGGTTCCTGGAGTATTACTGGGGTGGAAATAACCCATTGCCCGATGTCCGAGTCCAGTGTTTTTTTCTGTCAGGCAAGCAAATTTGTATATCACATTGTACCGGTGTCCAGTTGACTTTCCAATGTTATTTATGTTGTTTATTTTTAAAAATCAACAAGAAAATGGCTGGTATAGTGGAAAAATTATCAGGGCAAGTGATTTTACATGTGCCACTGTTCCGGAGTACACTAGCAGTTTTAAAGTTATTTCCACCCCTGTATTAAACTCCACAGAAATCCTAAGCGGAATAGGCCCTAGCAACAAGTCCTTCTTGTAGGAACTCTCTTCATTGCAGTAGCATTACAACTATTACTTGTAGTTCACAGGGCAGAATAGGTCCCCAGCATCTCAGGCTTATTCTGGGAACTCTCTCCCACTGCAGTAACATTAGGCTGAAGGGGTCGTTGTCGGCATAGGTACTACAGATATGTACCCCAGGTACGTTTCTGTATACAGACATGTACCCTAAACAAAGTCAAACTACAGAAACGTACCCGGTACCCTAAACGACGGACGAGTCCATATTCCGCGACCCATTACCGAAACCGTATGTAGTTATTCCCGTTCAGCTGATTGTGAGTGGTGTACGTTGTGCACCGTGAAATATTCGTTATACTGTGTATGCTCTTATATAACGCAATCAAATGCATCTCATACAACAGTATGACAGTTCCGATCAAGAAAACTCCACAATGCAGAATGGAATCGTCCTAGGGTACATTTCTGTATTCTGATTATGTATACAGAAACGTACCTGGGGTACACATCTGTAGTACCCGTGCCGACAACGACCCTTTCAGCTTTACTAAGTGAAGGTTCACTATTCCTTCTATTTTAATGCTCAGTTATATTGTCAAGCCAGTGATAAATACAGTTAACACAATAAAACCCTGCTGCAAGCACATTGAAATGACAAATATATGATGTTACAGCATTATTCACTATATGCAGCAGTATGATTCATAAAATATTTTAGTGGATTGAGAAATATACAATCTCTGTAGTCAAATTAATGTCAATCTCAGTGAAACAGTGGGGGCAGACTTCTTAAATTAAAACTGCTTGTTATGTAGCCAAGTTCAAAGATTGATCAAAGGCATGGTTGACAGATTCGTCTAAGGTGCCCATACCTGTCCTCGTTGGTTTTACCTGGGGCGGTGGGGTAGCCTAGAGGTTAAAGCATTCGCTCGTCACACCGAAGACCCAGGTTCGATTCCCCACATGGGTACAATGTGTAAAGCCCATTTCTGGTGTCCCCCGCCGTGATATTGCTGGAATATTGCTTAAAGCGGCGTAAAACCAAACTCATTCAGTCGTGGGTTTTACCACAGTGGTATATGTCTGAAACCTGCATCGATTCCACTTCAAACTGACTTGCCTTAATATAACTGAAATACTGATCACAGCAGCATTAAACTAAACTCACACACTCCTCCACTCACTCACTCACTCATTCGGTCATCAGTCATCGTGACATGCCGTGTAATGTCCGTAAGTTCTCACAGTTGTACAATCTCAAAGCCTCACGAAATGTTGTTAATTAGGCCACTGACTGTTTGATTGTGCGTGAATATTGCATGACGTAGAAGGGGGTCTCAGGTACACTCAGTACAGGCCAGGTGCAGGTCAGACTCACGATCCTGTTCACAGTAAACAGAGGGATTAAAACGGCAAAGAAATGTGCTTCCAGTTCACACAAATGTGTAGAATGGATGCAGAAATTATATGATATTGCAACCGGGGGACCCAGAGGAATATTCATTATTAAATTCTTGAGAAGAAATATATAGTCTCTGTAATCAAAGTAATCATAAGATTTTACCATGCTGCACCATTTCGTGTATTTATGGGACTCTCATATATCCTGTATGGAATTGTGAAATTAGCATCTGGGGGTCCTCTGGATCCCTATCTTTGTAGGTTAAGGTAAAACCCTGAAATATGTAATGTCAATGCCAGAAAATAACCAGTCTTGAGTATCCACTGTGAGAGACTCAATTTTGAAGCAAAGGTGAAAAGAGTGATGTGAATTATATGAGTGAAGACCATATTCCCTGTCTGGCCAACACATACAGCAGACTTGTTAACTCGTAAATGACCCACACACACTGTGGTTGCACTTAAATGACATGAACATAAATTGTACTTCCGGGTACCCATCTGCAGCTAGAATAGAGAGTAAGTACTGTCAGCATCATGTAGAGGTCCAGCGCTCAGTGTCAAGGTGTGGTCCCAGTCTGGTATAAAATTGAAATTAAAATTGAAATATCATGAACATGAATATCTTGTGTTCATTAGTGAGTTATTTCAGTTTGTGCAAGATATGATAATGGTAACCATTACATGTGTTTAATACAGGCAATATTTGTTGGTGTTAATAAACCCCCACTCATTCTGTAGTTATTTTGGGGTCTGTCAATTTTACCCTTTTCAAGAAACTACATTACGTGCCATATTTGCCCTAGAAAATCAGGCTACAAAGAACTTTCAATTATTTCTTCAAAATCATTTATTGTTTACAATTTATTTTGATTGTGTACCAAAATTGGAATGACTGCATGCAGTGTTTATACACCCTGGGGCGTTGGGGTAGCCTAGTGGTTAAAGCGTTGGCTCGTCACGCCGAAGACCCGGGTTCGAATCCCCAAATGGGTACAATGTGTGAAGCCCATTTCTAGTGTCCCCCGCCGTGATGTTGCTGGAATATTGCTAAAAGGGGCGTAAAACCAAACTCAGTCAGTCAGTCAGTCAGTCAGTTTATACACTCATTATGTAGTTATACCTGAGTCTCCGAGTACCAGAAGATGAAGACTTATCCTGTTGATGTCTGTGTTTGTTTTCACAATGAATACAATGTTGATGGCTGTTGTTGTTTCTCCACAGTTCTGGCCTGGAGTTTTTGCTCTCCGTAGGAAACCGACTTAGTCGCAGAGATTTACGAAATGCTGTAAAACACCCGAAAGCTTTATATGAGGAATTCTGGGTGAGAAAACAGAATTAGACTAATCCTTCAAGTTAACACTTCTCACTGATTTATTTGTGTTTAGTTTGTCCTTAATGGAGGTTCATATCGTGCATGCTATTTGACAAACTTTGATAAAACTTGAATGGTGTGTGATAGAATTTTGGTTTGTGGTAACATTCTCATGAGTCTACATTCATTATTTCAGGAAATTCCAACTAATCACACAGAAAAGGTGTCAGTGGCTGGCTCAGGGATGAAAAACAGATATAAAACTATTATACCAAGTGAGTATCCTACTTTATGCAATGACTGCTTGCGTCTGTAATGCCGAGTGAGTGAGTGAGTGAGTGAGTTTTACACCCATTTCTGGAGTCCCCTGCCGTGATATTGCTGGAATATTGCTAAAAGTGGCATAAAACTAAACTCACTCACTTACTCAATATAACCCAACTGCATGGACTCTTGTTCACGTTATCAATCACTGGATTATCTGGTCCCTATGGATTTGTCTCTATGTTGCTGTGTCCCAAATCCCTGTTGTACAGACTGAGTCCTGATTTAGGGTAGCATAGGTCCTTCGTACCCCATGCTTGTCAGTAGGGCTGGCTATCCAGGACTAGTATGCTCATGGAACTTTTTTGTTACTAATAAAGGAACACATATAAGTGCAAGTGTTCCTGATCTATTTTCCAGGTTTCTGGTCATGCCTTATATTGCACTGTGGGTGAAAATCTGGAAATAAATAAAGGAACACTTATACAGTATACCCTGGTTATAATGCCATCGTTTGTGCAGGGTGGCATTATAACCAGGGTGGCATTATAACCAGGGTGGCATTATAACCAGGGGCAGTATAACCAGGGTGGCATTATAACCAGGGTGGCATTATAACCAGGGTGGCATTATAACCAGGGTGGCATTATAACCAGGGGCATTATAACCAGGGTGGCATTATAACCAGGGGCATTATTATAACCAGGGTGGCATTATAACCAGGGTGGCATTATAACCAGGGGCATTATAACCAGGGGCATTATAACCAGGGGCATTATAACCAGGGTGGCATTATAACCAGGGGCAGCATTATAACCAGGGTGGCATTATAACCAGGGGCATTATAACCAGGGTGGCATTATAACCAGGGTGGCATTATAACCAGGGGGCATTATAACAAGGGGCATTATAACCAGGGTGGCATTATAACCAGGGTGGCATTATAACCAGGGTGGCATTATAACAAGGGCAGTATAATGAGGGGGCATTATAACCAGGGTGGCATTATAACCAGGATGGCATTATAACCAGGGTGGCATGGCATTATAACCAGGGGCAGTATAACCAGGATGGCATTATAACCAGGGTGGCATTATAACCAGGATGGCATTATAACCAAGGGGCAGTATAACCTGGAGGGCATTATAACCAGGGTGGCATTATAACCAGGGTGGCATTATAACCAGGGTGGCATTATAACCAGGATGGCATTATAACCAGGGTGGCATTATAACCAGGGCAGTTATAACCTGGAGTTATAACCAGGGTGGCAGTATAACCAGGGGCAGTATAATATTATAACCAGGGTGGCATTATAACCAGGGTGGCATTATAACCAGGGCAGTATAACGATGGGCATTATAACCAGGGTGGCATTATAACCAGGGTGGCATTATAACAAGGGGCAGTATAATGAGGGCATTATAACCAGGGTGGCATTATAACCAAGGGGCAGGCATTTAATGGCCATGGGCATTATAATAATGATGGCATTATAACCAGGGTGGCATTATAACCAGGATGGCATTATAACAAGGGGCATTATAATGGGTGGCATTATAACCAGGGTGGCATTATAACCAGGGTGGCATTATAACCAGGGTGGCATTATAACCAGGGTGGCATTATAACCAGGATGGCATTATAACCAGGGGGCATTATAACCAGGGTGGCATTATAACCAGGGTGGCATTATAACCAGGATGGCATTATAACAAGGGGCAGTATAATGAGGGGCATTATAACCAGGGTGGCATTATAACCAGGGTGGCATTATAACAAGGGACAGGGGGGCATTATAACCAGGATGGCATTATAACCAGGGTGGCATTATAACCAGGGGGCATTATAACCAGGATGGCATTATAACCAGGGTGGCATTATAACAAGGATGGGGGGTGCATTATAACCAGGGAGGGCATTATAACCAGGGGCAGCAGTATAACCAGGGTGGCAAATATAGTATAACCAGGGGTGGCATTATAACCAGGGTGGCATTATAACCAGGGTGGCAGTATAACAAGGGTCAGTATAACGAAGGTGCACTGCACTTTCATGTCATCCCTTATTCATTTCGGTATATTACCAGTCTACTGTCCTCACATGACATTGCTTACAAGATCAACATCTCTCCTCTTTTGACAGGATCACAGCTGTGTCTAAAGGGAACTGTCTTGCACAAATTATCAAAACTTCTACCACTGTCTCTTCTTTCTAATCACACCGCCATATAGCTGGAATAGTGTGCCGTTAAACAACAAACCAACCTAACAATCTATCAAATCTGAGCTAAAGACTCAATTGTTTAATCAGTACTACAAGTCCCAGCATTAAACTCTCTTCTATCATGAACAGCACATCCTAATTGTGAGTTATAAATGCTTGTATTATTATATGAACTGATACATGGCTGGTCTCTGTTTCAGATGAACACAGTAGAGCCATTCTACCAGATGGAGAAAGGGATCCACTCTCTTCTTACATCAATGCAAACTATATAAAGGTGAGCACATCTATCTTTCAAAGAATTAACTGATTTAAGGTTGAGAACTGTCATTGCAAAACCACTGTAGCCATAATCTGGGTCAGAACTAGTCTGTCTCACAGTCCCTGAACCACATTATTTTCCCTACTTCCTGAATAAAGTCTAGATTTCCTCAGGTTCAGGTTCCTGACTCTCTGGTCTCCCTGTGGCTCCTTTTCAATTTAAATGGGCTTGTTTGTTACTATCAAAATGATATATATTCAGAGACTAAGCATTAGTCTAGGTCAGAACAGGTGCTGGTTGTTATGGCAACTTATAAAGTTTGGGCAGTTACACTGTGCAACCAACTGATGTTATACCCTCATGACTGGTCAATCTGAACCTTGCTATCAAACACTTGTTTGGCTGGTAGTTTGATTTGGGGATATTCCTGGTTGGAACCCCACATGAAGGATGGACCAAAGCTATATGATATTTTTAATCCAACCAGTTCATGGTGAAGGACAAATTCACTGAATGAGTGATATTCAATTAGCCTGAGTCTGTTACAGTTTAAAGGGAGATTATGAATGGTACAAGACTTGTATAATGTTATGCAACATATCGATGCAGGGTTACGAGGGTGAGCTGAAGGCCTACATCGCTACACAGGGTCCTATGGCACACACCATTGTAGATATCTGGAGGCTGATCTGGTTCGAGAGGGTGCCCATTGTCGTCATGATCACAAAGTTAAAAGAAAAGAATAAGGTAGGTTTGTGAGGTGGTTTGACTGTGATCTCGAACTCTTCAAACAGCCATCACCTTTTGTTTGCATAGGAAACAAGTATTAATAAGGCCAGACAAACTTGATTTCTTACTATCGCCTTACCAGGAGGAAGTCAGCAAAAGTTTTAAAATCTAAAGTATTGTTAGGTTTCTTATGAGATCAGGTTTCCAAAGCCATACGCTTGATATCAGAATCTTAAATGTACATGTACCATATATGACCGTCTATAAGACGATCCCATGGATAAGACGACCCCCAAACTTGACCCTTAAAATCAGTGTCAAAATGATATGTTTCGTGCATAAGTCGATCCCCCGCTATGGGGTCCTAATCGCGGCAAACACAGACCACAGACAACTGGCAGTTACCAATCCTTTGACATTATTCAAAGAATTCACAATCATATATATTTTGTCTCCACTTGGATCAAAACTCTGGTTGATTGAATAATGGGTTTTGTTTCTGAATATCATTTGTATTGTAGCAAAAATATTACCCTGACTTAGTCTCTCACAGTCCCTGAACCATATATTTTCTACTGCCAAGTCTCCTGTCTGGGTCTGCTGAAGCTCTCTGCAAGTCTAGAATTCCTGGGTGCTGGTTCTAACTCTCTGGTCTCCCTGGGTCTCCTGACTCTCTGGTCTCCCTGGGTCTCCTGACTCTCTGGTCTCCCTGGGTCTCCTTTTCAATTTAAATGGGCTTTTTGTTACTATTAAACTTATATATATATATTCAGAGACTAAGCATTAATCTACTCATGACACAACACTTACTTATATATTTCTGTTTTGATTTTCTGTCATACAAAATCACATTCAGGTCTCATCCAGATTCGATCATTTAAGCTGCCTCCATATTGCTGGAATATTGCTGAGGGTGGCATTAAAAAACACAAACAGCAGTCACAGTAATAAGCCAGCGCTGTGTGCGATGACCTTTCTCCTTGTGTTGTGTTGTTTCAGCCAAAGTGTGAGAACTACCTCCCAGAGAGATACGGCATATTTGGAGACGTAGAGGTCACTGTTGACAAAGCAATAGAGCGCAACGGATACGAAATACGCCATCTACATTTACGAGTAAGATCTGTTCCCATGTTTTAAGGTTTATTTATCATCACTTCTTGACCCTGTGTTCAAAATACAGCTTCATAGTCAAGAGGTTGTTGCCATAGCTCTGATGTTGATGGGGCGGTGGGGTAGCCTAGTTAAAGCGTCAGCTCGTCACGCTGACGACCCGGGTTCGAATCCCCACATGGGCACAATGTGTGAAGCCCATTTCTGGTGTCCCCCGCCATGATATTGCTGGAATATTGCTAAAAGCGGCGTAAAAACCCAACTCACTCTGATGTTGATACGAGTTACGGCTCCCTGGATACAAATATCCTGAGAGCAAACCTCAAGGGCTTAGGAACATAGCCTTAGTGTTAAAAGCAAAAGAGTTGAGAATTCCCACATACCACAGGAGTAACACTCCAGGGCCCTAGAGCTTTCTAAATATTGAACACTGACAGGAAAATGAATGAATTCTAGAATATAGGAACATATATTCTGCATAGATTTGATCTGGCGGGATAGTTTTTTATAAGTATGACTGAAATTTATTACAGCAAGTGAATATGAATATACACCATGATGATGTTTTCACATGCCTTTCTGATGGATGTTTACGCTATCACTACTGGTTCACTTAGCTATAGGGCGGTGGGGTAGCTCAGTGGGTAAAGCGTTCGCTCTTCACGCCGAAGACCCGGGTTCGATTCCCCACATGGGTGCAATCTGTGAAGCTCATTTCTGGTATCCCCCGCCATGATATTGCTAGAATATTGCTAGAAGTGACGCAAATCCAACATCACTCACTCACTCACGCTTAGCTATGTACATGTCAGTGCGATTAGTTTGGATTATTGTTTCCGGCATTTAAAGGGGATTGGGGCGATTGGGTAGTCTAGTGGTTAAAGCATTCGCTTATCACACTGCAGGGTTCAATTCCTCACATGTGTGAAGCTCATTTCTGGTGTCATATTGTTGGAATATTGCTAAAAGCGGGGTAAAGCCAAACTCACTCGCTCACCCTAAAGGGGATTCCGGGTTATATATAGGTTCACAGCAGCTTAACTAGAGGTAGTATTTGGTGATGAAATACGTCTGGTGATCAGACTTGATGACTTGTTGATTCCATGTACTCTTTCCTTGACAACATTGGCTGTGTTTTGTAGAGGCCTACCTCACAGTTGGAATAGTAACCTGGAGTGTTTTTAAAAATAATAATTATAATAATAGTCCATTTATAATGCGCATTTATCCATGCACATTGCATGCTCAAAGCGCTGACATACTACCCCTGGTCAATGAGTACAGAACACTCCCTGTGGAGAATACAACCGGCTGCCTGTCAGGCGCTCAAGGTTCAAATTGAGACTACCATCGTATCATACCTGGCCCTGATTTCTCGAAACAAACTTAAGCCTGAGTTTTGACTTAAGTTCGAGTTTTTACTCAAATTTGAGAAAATGCAGGAAAATGCATTCCACAGAATGAACTGAAATCAGTATTAAACTATAGAAGACAATTTGAGTTTGGTGGATAGATTACTTAAGTTGTTTGGGCTTTTATATTTTGAATATGCAGTTGAGTTAAAAATTCAGCTTTTTCAAATTGTGATACTCAGTTTGAGATTTGAGTAAAAACTTAAGTTTGTTTTGAGAAATCCAGGCCAGGTACCCAATTCTACTGCTGGGTGGACAGAGGCAAGTTTGAACAAACTCACTTGCCTTAGGTGAGACCACATGTATCACATATGCTTCGTTGTGGAGCAGGACTGAAGTCCTTGAAACTCTCAGGAGTCAAGCTGCCAAACACGGTCACCCATCCAAAGACTCTCCGCGACCAACGTTGCTTAAACTTCAACTGATTGTGACCTGAACTCTACGCACAGGACCACACACAGCCAAACACAGAAACAACCACAACAAGGGCTTGCTGCAGTTTTAGACAGTCACATTCATGCTTTCTTGCAGTCTCAAGGTGAAACACGGAACGTGATCCACTATTGGTACACAGCGTGGCCAGACCACAAGCCCCCGACGTCTCCGTGTATGCTGTTGGAGCTGGTGAAGGAGGTGGAGCTACGTAGATACAAGGCCGACGCGGTCACACCTAAAGGGCCAGTCCTTGTACACTGCAGGTACTACTATCACATGGTATTTTCTTGTGTGTTGGGCACACGTTGTTTCTGTAGCAGGTCGTGGAGTCAGATTGCTGGTTGGGTTTACCCCTTTGCTCATGTAGACAAGGCATCCAACCTCAGAGGTCCGTGTTTCGAATCCAATCACAGGACTGCACATTCGTGCGTTGCATTAAATCCTGGTAGTATGATTTGTTTGTTTGTTCTTTCATTTGATTTGTATGTTTGACAGAACTGTTGACATTTCAATTTTAGCGCTGGTATTGGAAGAACAGGGTGTTTTGTTGCTACCAGCATTGGAATCCGACAGCTAAGAGAAGAACATTCTGTGGACGTTATTGGGAATTGTGTGCAGCATGAGACTTGACAGGTGAGTAGTGTCTTGGTGACAGTAAATCACCTCGTTAAATGCCACTTATCAATATTGGTAATGTTTGAACCACAAGTCTTATTTGGTCGTAGATGTCGGTTTCTGATCAGTGAGTGATTGAAATAACTCAAAATGATTTAACAGTGGGCTTATCAAGACATGATATTATGTATCTCAGTTCAGCCTCCAAGGGACTGTTCTGAAATTTGTTCTGGGCCTAAGCATGAATAAATGTTTGTTCAGTTGGAGGTGAAACATTAGCTTGCCATAGCCATTAATGCAGAAGGGGTCGTTGTTGGCACAGGTACTATAGATATGTACCCGAAACAAGTCAAAATACAGAAACATTCGACCGCCTCCGTGGTGTAGTGGTTAGAGCATCCACCCAGAGAGCGGAAGGTCGTGGGTTCGATCCCCGACCGCGTCATACCAAAAGACGTTAAAATATGGTACTTGATGGTCCCTGCCTGGCGCTCGGCATTAATGGGTACAACAAGGACTGGTCGGCTCGGAGTCAGTATAATGTGTCTAAGTGGGGTATCCATGCTTCACTGCAGCATGGTATCTCAGTGGGCTAGCACTATAAAACCAGCTTCAGTCTGGGCTAGTACAAGCAGCCGCACATACACACGCATGCACGTCGTCATATGAGCGAAATATTCTCAAGCACGAAATTAAACCCAATTTCACCTCACCTCACCTCACAGAAACATACCCAGTATCCTAAACGGGCATCAAGTCCATATTCCGCAACACAAAACCAATATCATATGTAGTTGTTCCCATTCAACTTGCTGCAAATGGTATTGTGCATCGCAAATATTCGTTACTGTGTATGCTTGAATCTTATAAAATGCAATAAAATGCATCTAATACAACAGCATGGACTCGTCCTAGGGTATGTTTCTGTACCTTGGTTACACATCTGTAGTACCACTTCCAAGAACAACCCCTTCAGCACCATAAATTCATTTTAGAAATTCACTATTTCATTGTGCATTGTACGCTTGTATTTAGAAGCCAGTGCCTAGATTTTTGAAGCTCTCTTTGCTAAGATAGTCGAAAGTGCCATACATTACATTAAGCACGTGTGATCGTTGTAACTGTCCAAAATGGCGCATACACATAGAGCCCGAAGCAATGGTGTCTTACAAAATCTGAGACAGTTAATTCCTTTGAGAACTGGAAACAAAATCTCCATTACACTCTGTCACTAGACCAGAATTTTGCACACTTTTGGTGGATGGTGTGACCTGGACGAAGAAAACTTCGTGATAACCCTCGGCGTGGTTTTGTAAACGATGGCGATGATGTTGATATAGCCATTCGTCGTACTTCTGAACAGAAAGTGACAATGCTTGAACTTATGCTTGGCCAGATCGCCAATTATTGCCCTGTTATTGCTAGAAGCACCATTGTCAAGAAGTCAACCTCTCTCAGCAACATTTGGCAGGAAATCACGTTTACATTCGGTTTCAGTCAACTGGATCACATTTTCTGGACTTTGCCAACATTTCTTTGTTACCAGATGGCGTCCTGAAGACCTTTATCAGCGTCTGGTTGCCTTCGTTGAAGATAACTTGATGAAGGCGGGGGTAATATCACACACCATGGAGAAGAAATCATTGAAGATGAAGAATTATCCCCATCTCTTGAGAACTTTATTGTGCTCACGTGGCTTAGCCTCATACATAAGGACTTACCCAAATTGGTTAAGCAGCGGCTATGGCACTGAACTACGTTCTCGTGCCCTTGCATCCATAAAGCCTGAAATCTCTCAAGCTATGTCCTCCCTTCAAGATGAAATTATGACTAATCAGGACATGAAAGTTATGAGAACTGCAAGCGTCATTCCCTACTCAGGACAAACGGCAACACTCTCGCTCAAGCCGTTTCCCTCACAAGAAAACTGACAAGTCTTGTCCTTTGTGCAAGTTGGCTGACAGACCTGATCGCCATTTTTCTGAGTGAGTGCAGTTATCTTCCGGCTAGTGATAAGCGTTATCTAGCTAAGGCTCGACAGATCGTTACTTGCCCTTGAGGGCGATTCCCACGATAGTCATGACCAAACCCCTGATGATGACTGCGGCGTTAAAGAATATGAGAACCAGTCGATGTGATGAGAGTCCAAGTATCTCAGTCCCCTGCCTCAATACCTTTACCAACATCACTTGGCACGCATTACCTTGGACAGTGGTGCCACCGGGAACATGGTGAAGTTATCTGTGGCAAAGAACTTGGATCTTGACGTCAAGATTAGCACCCAGTCAGCCAGGCAAGCAGATGGTGTTTAAGCCCCTCAGAGTTGTGGGGAAGTTAGTGCTGTCTTCGTTAAATTGGCCAGGAAGAATTCACATTCGAGGGTCTTGTTGTTGAGGATTTGGATGTCGACATTTTAGCAGGCATTCCCTTTATGGAATTGAATGATGTTTATGCCAGACCAGCTAGGCGACAAATCTTCGAGGTGAGCGTGTCATCGTAGATTACAGCCATTCAGGGAAGGAGTCAAAGCTTGATCAACACACCGTTAGGCGCTCAAGTCCTCAGAGCTGCGAACAGTCCCACCACTATTTGGCCAGGAGACTACATCGAGCTGGAAGTTCCACGGAGTTCACTACACATGATGACCATCTAAGCCCTGGAACCTAGGGTTGAAAACTCTCCCATCGGGGAAACAAAACTGGCCAGAGGTTGACATCGTTCCCAGTGTCTCGCTTGGACGGATCACATCGAACCTGGCGGATGGGCCTTTGTCATTGAAACATGCACACTTCTGCCAGGTGAGACATGTGGTAGATGCCCCGACAAAGTACAACCCACAGACTCTGTCATCACTAGCCAAAATGTGTGGCTCCAGAAGAAGCAGCAAAGTGGTTTCTCTCAAGCTGTTAAGTTGGATCGGGATCATGCCCTATCCCCAGATACACTGCAGAAGTTCAGAACCTTACTTGATGAGTATGGCGATGTCTTTGATCCCAACTTCAAAGGTTATAATGGAGCTTCTGGTCCTGTATATGCTGCAGTCAACATGGGCCCTGTGTTGCCTCCTCAAAGGAAAGGTAGAGTACCCCAGTATGCCAGAGATAAACTTGAAGAGTTGCAAGCCAAGTTCAACGATCTTGAAGCTAAAGGAGTGTTTGTTGACCGAAGATGTTGGGGTAACTGCTGAGTACCTTTTAACCCATCCTTTCTTGTGAAGAAACCTCAGGGGCTGACTTTAAACTTAGTGACAGCTTTGCGCGAGATGTCGGACGATATTCAAAGCCCCAACCATCACTTCTCCCAGATGTTGATTCCACTCTCGACAGATTGCTCAGTGGCGATTCCTCATTTCCACGGATCTCACCAGCGCCTTCTACCAGATACCTTTGCTTCGTGACTCCATGAAGTTCTGTGGTGTAGCAACCCCTTTCAGAGGTGTAATGCGAATGTATGCAAGATCTGCAATGGGCATGCCTGGATCCCGAGACTGCGTTGGAGGAGTTGATGTGCCGTGTACTTGGCGACCTACTTGAAGAAGGGGTGGTTGTAAAACTTGCTGATGACCTGTATTGTGGTGGTAATTAAAGCTTGATGATCTATACAGCAACTGGACCACGTCTACTGGAGACTCTTCACAAGAACAGTCTCAATCTCTCTGCATCGAAGACCATTATTGCACCCACATCCACAACCATCCTTGGTTGGATCTGGAGAAAGCGATGCGATCTCTGCAAGCCCTCACGGATCTCTACATTGTCTGCTTGTGCTCCTCCTGAGAAAGTGAAAGGACTCGGTCCTATGTAGGGACATTCAAAGTGCTAGCACGAGTTATTCCCAACTGCTCATCTATCCTGGCACCCCTTGATGATGCTATTGCGGAAAAGCAGTCAACTGATCGAATACATTGGACTGAAGATCTCATCCAACTGTTCAGGAGGATTCTCAGAGGCTCTCTCAACTTGTCGTGTACTCACTCTTCCCGCGTACTGGTGACCAGTTATGGGTTGTCACCGATGGTTCAGTTAAGAGACAGGGTGTTGGTGCTACCCTCTATGTTACTTTCGAAACAACAAGCCTCTCCTTGCTAGTTTCTTCAGCTCCAAGCTCCGAGGTCATCAAGTGAAGTGGTTACCATGTGAAATAGAAGCACTTTCCATCGGCTTTGGCTGTCAAACACTTCAGCCCTTACATGATCCAGTCAAAGCATAAGACTTGTGTTCTCACTGACAGTAAGCCTTGTGTGCAAAGCCTTTGAGAATTGTGCAGGGGAGAATTTTCTGCCAGTCCACGAGTGTACACATTCCTCTCCATTGTGAGCCACCATCAAGCATCTATTACGTCACCTTGCAGGTGCCGCAAACCTGCCGGTTTTATGCGAGCAGAAATGCACCAGATTGCAATGAACCTACTTGTCAAATTTGCTCTTTAGGTGGCTCGTCACGGAAGATTAGGTTGTCCGTATCACTTCCATTCAGGACTTTATCACTGGAGAGTCAAGATTACCATTCACAAGCAGAGCTGCCTGGAAATCCATCCAGTCAGAGTGCAGTGATCTTCGGCCTTTACATGCCCATCTCACTCAAGGTACCGTCCGTCCAAGAAGTTGACTAACATCAGGGCCGTTAAGCGTTACCTACAGGTGCCGCTTCCATTCTGCGGGACGGCTTACTTGTTGTTGTCAAGGAGGAGCCTTTCCGCGTCTAACAGAGAAGCGGATCATTGTACAGCGTGAAATTGTCAGCGGATTACTGACTGCCCTGCACATTCAACTCAATCATCCGACCAATCACCAGATGAAACAGGTCATACAAGCGCTACTTCTATGCCTTGGATCTTGACAAGACTATTGAAGACACCACTGCCAGTTGCCATAGATGTCAATCATTTCGCAGTTTACCACATACAGTGATCCAACAGTCCACTGGAGACCGCCTGATACTATTGGAATCAGTTTACAAGCCGGGCGTTGTTAAGCATAACCGGCAATTCATACTTGTAGTCCGGAATGTGTCACATCTCTTACACTGTCCTGTCTACTCGATGATTTAGGCGTCCACGACACTCCGCAGCTCAATTATTGCTTTGTGCAGTGAAGTTCACCCAATGGATGGACCGCCTGCTGTCATTCGAACTGATCCAGCTCCGGTTTGTAGCCCTTGTTAATGACAGGTTTATGAAACAAAATGGTGTAGTTATTGAAATCGATCGAAGTCAAGAACAAGAATAAGAACCAGTTGCAGAAAGAGCTGTTCAAGAACTCATAACTGAGTTACTGCGTCAAGACCCTCAGTGCAGTTACGTCTCGCCCCTCAACCTTTCTCTTGCCACTGCACGTCTGAACTCACGGATCAGAACCAGAGTTTTTCCGCCAGGAAAATGTGGACACCTGGCGACCAGCACACAAACTCTCAGTTGCCTATACATGACATGGATCTAATTCTTAGTCAACATGGCCAGCGTGTGTCCAATCATTTATCAAGTGAAGTCTAAGACTCCCACCCTCAAGCAGGGTCTGACACCTGACATTGATGTAGGAAGCATAGTCTACATTCACAGCGATGGCTCCAAGTCCGTGCCGTTGTGATCGTTACATTGTCACAGCAGTTGACAATGACTGGTTACTAACGTTAAGTAAATTCACGGATCACAACTTGAAACACTTCCTATAGAGTGAAAAGTCGGTGTTACTCTGTTACAAAACCTTCACTGCAACAAGCATCCACTTTGTCGGCTGATCTTCAATATCTGCCAGTGGGAGATGAACATGACAGATTCCCAAAGTCTCTACCTCCTCCTCCTCAACCTCCTCCTATACCAGATGTCATCATGGAGCCCCCTACACCTGCAGAGAGAGCTGACCCTATTATGCTGACATGAATTCATACCGTATCGCACTACTGGTAACACTGACTATCCAGAAGATACTTCAACAGACTCCCTATCGATCAATCAGAACCTTCTATGTCTCCAAAGTTGCGCGTCGGTCCAGTCGCAATGTCGTCAGATGCCATGCCACCTCTCAGACTATATCCTTTACTAGAGTAATGTGTGTGAGGCATCCTCTGGTGATACCGTGTTGCATATATCGGTTGCTTTATGTGATGGGGCAGGAACCTTCTCCATTAACTTAACGACTATCTTAGCGCTAAGAGAGCTTCGAAAATCTAGGCCCAGGACTTTTGAAATTGTTTGTTATAACCATAAGTATGTTGTATCCATGTTTGTACAATAGTCTCAGCTTTTGACAATGTGTCTAGCCCATTTCACCTGACCACCTGTACAATAGTCTGCAATGTGTGAAGCCCATTTCTTCTGTCACCCATGATATTGCTGGAATATTGCAAAAGGAAACTAAAACTAAACTCACTCACTCACTGTTATAACCATGAGTATGTTTGATCTATTTTATGTACAATTTGACAATTAGAGACTGTTCATTATTTATAGCTAGGGGGGTTGATGATGATTTTTAGGGGGTTTCACCCATTTTGTTCAGGGGAGGTAGGGGGTCATCAATTTTGTACACATGTATTACATAAAAATATTATAAAAATATGCTTAGAAATTATGGGCAGAGGGTGGGGTGTGGGGGTCATTGATTTTGTTCATGACATGCAGGGGGGTTCACTTACTTTGTACATAAATATTAGGGGGGTCATTCACATTGTACATGCTTCTCCATTAAAATCATCACATCATAACATGTTATCTGTGTTACAGGGGCGGAATGATACAGACGCACGAACAGTATGAGTTTATTCACAAGATGTTGAGTCAGTTTGAGCGAGATCTGGAGGATCCCTATCTGACAGAGTGAAGTGCCCCGCACGTCAAGGATCTCTGACTTGCCACTGGTACAGACAAATCTTGTCTTCTGTAGGTTGTGGTCGCCATCTTGACTGAAGTATGATGGTACAAATGTCCACTTCCACTTCCTGGTTGGTAAGGGAAGAGTTATCTCCCTTCATGATGGTTCCATGATCAGGGACAAGGCTGGTATGGTAGTTTATGATAATGGTGGTTGAAATTGTAGAATGAACGTGGATCTGATAAATTTATCCTGTGTTAACAATTTTCAAATTGATGAAATCACAAATGTTGACTTCATCTCTCTGTTGTGGTTTGTAAAGATCTGGAGTAAGATACTTGCTAAAAATTTTACATGTTCATTGTTGAACACCAATCATTTTGCAATAAATTCAGTGTTCTTTTGATACCCTTGTACAGAAAGTTTGCATGTAATTTAAGTTTTAGATACTTTTCTACTTTTTCGATACTTGCTTCAGTAATTATTGTAATTCATTCAACCTGTTCAAGATTTTGATCATATCATTCAATTTCATTGTGCATAACATCATTTATATAATTTATACCGAAGTTTGGAGAACCAGTATGTAGTAATTCTTTACTTATCACTTCAGGGAGATCGGTTTGTCTTCTGTGTTTTCGGTAAGATTCAAGTTGAATTGTTTCAAACCAAGCTGACAGTAATATGGCTATCGATTTGAAGTATTTGTCTTTGTTAGATTTTGGAGTTTGAGGAAAATGTATGGATTTGGTGAGATGTATTGCCTTCAGTGCCTAGCAGCTTGAGACCGCAGTGTTAGTATAGGAGGGGCGGTACCATATTCAACATGTTAATGCCTAATGCTTATGAAAAGGACAAAGATTAAAAAGCTGTCTGTTAAGACTTAAGCCGCTGGATAAGTGATTTAGATTGAAATATTTGGCAAACAGGAAGGACAACTCTGTTAGTTTAATTGAGGACACTGGAAATTATTGTATCTTAAGGACATTTAAAATTATAACAAGATATAAAAGAGTCTTTGAAATTGACGGTTGACCTGGGGTCCGATTTGTTACAGTACTTTGGTCTTGGGTTTCCATGTGTCTTCAACTTACAATTTTCGGCATACTTGAAATATTATTTTTTTCAAAATATTGGGGCCATGTTTTCTAGCAGGGTGATTACAATGTTGAATATGGTAGGATATGTTTGAGACAGGAAATATGAATTACTGTCTGTTATTTATTCATGATGTTTATGTGTGATGTCTGTGTGCGACTTGACCGGCTTTGTCTTGAGATGAAGTCAGTAGTGATTCTGTCAAACTTATACCGGTTTGTGTTATGTTTTTGTTATTGATATCATTTAGTGCAGGCTGTGAGGTGAGACAGGTTGGAAGAGTTCTGTAGAAATATACTTAAACTCCAATAATTCAAATGGTTGTAGGGCATTTCCTGAAGATGCAAGGATAGAAATAAGCATAAAATGTCAACTAGCCAGAAAAATGGTAACATATTCCGATGAAACACGTGACTGTACAAGTTTTCCCTTATTTGTTGCCAGATATTGACCCTCAGTGCAATACAAAGCTTGCGAAGAACACTGGAAAAGAATTGAGGAACACTTATGTCCCCTTTTTTTTTACAATTCTACCAATCCTTAGGATACATTAAACATTAGTGAAACTGACAGGCTATGAGGTCGGTGTGTATTTCAATCATGACTTTCATTAATACAAATTGTTACATGGTATGTCTGCCATAGAGCTGGAATATTGTTGAGTGTAGGGTTAAATAACAAACTACAGTCAAATCCCGATGAGTCGAATGGCTTGGGACCAAGTAATAAATTCGACTTATCGATGTATTCGAGACATAGGTATGTCTATGAGGGTAGAAAAAAAGATGATCCAGTCCTAATTCCTCCGCCTAAGCATTTGTTTATCTAATGATTTCCATATCACTAATGGGGACACCTTATCAGTTCCAGTCTGATTAGCACAGACAGTGATTTCCGTAAAATCACTAATCTGCCTTTTGAACTCACCGTCAATGGCGGAAAGGTGTGAGCCGCGCTGGTTTGTTAATTGGATCAGTTTGCTACACCAATTAACTTCTCATTGACTGACTTCGGCTTATATATACAAGATTGCTGTTGTTTGAATCTCATAGGACCAAATTTCCTTCTCGAGTCATCGTGTGTATTTATGAGACGAATTTGTGTAACCAGTATTCAAATGATGACAACTATAACAGGGAATGGTCGGGACCGACAGGTACTTCGAGTTATGCATAATATTCGAGACACCGGCATTCGATTCATCGGGATTTGACTGTAATACATTGCATGTAGTAAGTACTCTTACTGTGTTCGACCCAACTCTCTCCCCCCGCAGCCTCCAGACTATGTATTAAGTTTATACACGCCACGGTTTCCCCATAAATGTATGTTATTGTGTAGATACAGGTATGTTCTTTTCTCAGGATATGAAATATATTACTAATCAAATTCCACAACCCTTGAACTGTAGCTCTATGTTCTTGTACATCTTGTACAGAACAGACTTCCCTGTTTAAAGTGTCCATTTCTCTGTTGTCCTGTGTAGACATGTGGTCACAATATTCAGTGAAATCTTTTTATATTGTTTCAGTATAACATTGCGATGTGTTGTTCATTCATACCCGGACCGGTTTCGGGGGCACAGGTGGCCCAGTTGTCTTAGGCACCGCTATTCTCTCTTCAGAGTTGGACATGGCAGAAACCTACGATTGTGGGTTTGAATCCCGGTTTGCCTGATCAGTGTCTAGGTTTGTCAGCACCATGGTCGCGGGTTTCACCAAAGTGGTAAACATCTGCGATCTGTATCACTTTGGGATGTCTCCCCGCATTAAGCTGATATATCTAGAATACTGTTTAAAGCATCATTAAACCCAAATCACTCACTCACTCCATTATCTGATCTTTTCACTGAGACCATAATTTCTATATGTTAAGACCATAATCAGTTTCCATAACAAATTCTCTGTAGAAAATGTTAAAGTTACTTTGGTTCCTTGACCTATCTACACGATCCTTAATGCTAACATGAGGCAGTGGGGTAGCCTAATGGTTAAAGCGTCCGCTCGTCACACTGAAGACCCAAGTTTGATTCCCCACATGGGTACAATGTGTGAAGACCATTTCTGGGCCTAGATTTTCAAAGCTCTCTTTACGCTAAGATAGTAAATTAATGTTAATGTATGGCACTTACGACTATCTTAGCTCTAAGAGAGCTTCAAAAATCTAGGCCCTGGTGTCCCCCACTGTGTTTTTGCTGGAATATTGCTAAAAGTGGCTTATACCATACTCACTCACTAACTCACTGACATTATTCATTAATGCTAACGCAGATTCAGACAGGAATAACACCCACTGATAGCAAATATTGGTAGACCTTTGAAGATCCGGGTTTTAATTGGTCTTCAGCAACCCATGTTTGTTGTAAGAGGCGACAAAAGGGATCGGGTGGTCAGGCTCACTGACTTGGTTGACATGTTTTTGTATCCCAATTGCGTAGATCGATACTCGTGATGTTGATCACTGGATTGCCTGGTGGTTGCCTTGGCTCCATTATTTACCATTATTTACAGACCAGGCCATATGGCTGTATCGTGGCGCTGTAATATTGCTGAGTGTGGCATTAAACAACAAACCAACCAACCAATCACATTTTTGGAACAAATGGTTGTAAATCTAATAATTATTTTGTGGTGGTCTTAACATAGATTTACAATTGTCTCAGTGCTAAGACCACTCTGTGGAGCAGAGTCCTATTCCTTCCAGTTCAGATGTGTTTGATGGTGAGACCTATTGTGAGATGGGTGTTGTTCTTGCAACGTTGACTTGAAACCTCATTTGAAGTTTAGGAAAACTTATATTGTTTGTTTTAAACTTTTCCTTCTTCAAGTACATTTATCTTTGACAATGAGATGGGTGTTGTTTTTGAACAGTGACATGAAAATTGTTTGAAGTATAAGGCACCAAAATGGTGACATGTTGTTTGTGAATAATTATACCACCTGAGTGGTGGGCATTAAGTTTAAACTAGGGCAGATGTCTACCAATTATAAAAATGTCAGTAGCCTTGTAAGAGAAACGTTGGACCCTAAAATTATGTATGATTCAATATATTTCATAATACAAATGGCCGAAGACCCAGGTTCGAATCCCCACATGGGTACAATGAGTGAAGCCCATTTATGGTGTCCCCAGCTGTGATATTGCTGGAATATTGCTAACAGCGGCGTAAAACCAAACTCTGTCAGTCAGTCATAATACAAATGATGGAAGATCTCCATGGGAACAAGATTTTGGATATCTCACAAAATGGTGTTAATCTTTGTCAGAGGACAAAGTAATTTTCTGTTGTGTGAAGGTTTTGTCATCGTACATTTGTAAATGTATTTCAATGACAGATTTTGGGGATGAGTCGGGTCACTAATCACTGATAAGACCAAGATTTGTTAACATTTTCAGTTACTCTGTTAGATATATGTGAAGAATAAAATATTCTGAGCTAGACACTTTTGTTTTCAAACAAATATAACACCCTAATCAGGTGATCTTAATTTCTTTTGAGTAGTATACAAGAGTCGACTAACATCTAGTCTCCAAAGTGAACATATTATACCGAAACAAACTGTTCATAAACATAATTATAAATATAGTGAAAAGGAGCCCAAGAGACTTTCTTTATAAACTGTGGAGATCTAGACTTGCCACATATTCTAGACTTGCGTGGGCTTTCTTGGATATATTTTTAGGGTCTGTATGACAGACCATATGCAAGATATATGTAATTCTGGTCATGATTCTAGTGAATCAAATTCCTATAAACAGGTATCTACACAAATGCCTACCACAATATGTTTATTAAAATAAAGTAAAAGTAACTTACATAAAATGCCTCCTGTGTCGCATATTTTAAGAATTTTGATGAATCTGAAATTAGATCGTGACATTGTGGGAATCCAGTGTATATTTATAAATGTACAGTCATGGCCCTACATGTTCCGATGTTTTGTTTTGTGGTTGTAAGGATCAGTGTTGTTACTCGGGCACCAACAACACTTCACTAAGCAGATAGCACTTCAAACATGTCCGCCATTCCATTCACAAATGCACAATATTGACATCCACTGAAATAAAATTGTACGTTTTCAAAATTCTGCCATTGCTGTCAGTTTTATCGTATTTATTTTTGTTTGTTTGATGTTGTTGAAAAATTGACGAGTTGTCATATCTGCTGGTGCATACTTTGTGTAATAATCAACTGTAAGAGGTCACTTCTTGGAGATCCCTGGTTGCCAGGTAACCAGCCAGTCTGAGCAATACCTGTTGTTTTGGTTTCACAGAATCGGTAACTGCTTCTGTTGGCTAACCTCCAAAAAGAAGTTGAAACATAAACATAAAAAAGGAATCTCTGGGAACCGACTTTAGTCTGTGACTTGTGTTAAGAATCATCAAAATTGCAAAACTTATAAAATTCACAAGGGACTTGTGACTACCAGTTTTATGATAAAATTTAGTTTAGATTAAACATATTCTATTCATGAAGTGAAAGTAATTAGGTACATATTCATAAAACTTATAAAATCCTCTCCAAGAATATTTATAACAATTTTCATGCCAAACAACTATTAGAAATAGACACAGAGGAAGATGGACATTGGAAGTATTATAATACACAAGGTACAGCGAACGAAAACCAATCCAGAACTTTAATTTTGATAATCTGACCCAAAAATATAACCCTTCTACTTACCCTTGCATTAACTGAAGCATCATTGAGGCATTTTTTGGTACGAAAGTAACAAGGTCCATCATTCTGTGAGTGAGTCTCCATTACGTGCCGGCTGTTATCAAGTTTTTCTTGATGCCTTCAGCAGAAAATCTATAACCTCTATTGTAAGGCTGTTAAATGGCATTGTTGGCTAAAAATCAAAGAACTTTACATTGTTACTTTTAAAATGAAGTCATTCAATAAATGTGAAATCGTTATTATGTAATTACTTGTTTCTTAATTATTTTGTAGACAGCTTGGTTCCTTACAAGTTGTTGATCATCCTCTTGATGTATCTTGTCGTCAGGCAGACTGAAGTACGTCTTGCATCAAATTGCACTAACATTGATTTGTAAGTTGTAAATTTATTGTAGCTTAGTATTGGTCATTTTAGGATCGTATTTGGTCTTCACACACATTTGAAAACATTTACAAGGACATACTTTAATTACAAGGACTCTCGGTTAAGTTTACAAAGTTGCCATGGCAATGTAACTAAACCAGTGTTTAACCTTTTGGATTCCTACAATAAACTTTGCTGAATAATGTCGCTGATCACACTCATCGTTAATATTAAAAGAAAAAGGGTAAGTGCCCAAAATAACTTAGGGATGAGGAATAGCATGGCGTGGTCAGGTTAGTATGGAAAAAAATGCATTTATCTCGAAATGCTCATATGTGTGAAATCATGTGTTGAGTATTCACTTCAGAAACATGACCCCAAAATGTCATGTCATGTCATGTCTCTATAGTATAGGTTGAAGGTGTTGAGTGGGCTAATTAGTTGGAGCACTAAGTTTGATACTACTGCAACTTAAGTGTATCCGATTATAGAACATACATGGCCAGGTGTAGTAGGGTCATTCATCACGTTCCTGGAAGTTCAGCCATTTTCTGTAGGGGCGTGGATTGTGTAGTTGTCTGCAATTCAAAGTGTTGATTTGAGTACAAGTATCCTATGAATGTGGGTTCGAATCCCAAATTTGCTGGTTTGTCAGCACCAATCTCTTGGTTTTATCAAACTTGAAAGTCTACGGCCAGCTCCACTTCAGGCATTCCTCATCTATTAAGCCAACACTTCGTGATATAACTGGAATACTGTTCAAAACGGAGTTAAACCAAATTTACAAATATACTACTCACACTTTGCTAAGGATCACAAAAATTCCCAACTTTACTTAAACATAGAGATATAATTTGAAATTGTATCCATTTAAAACTGGATAAATAATAATATGGTAACCCTTCTTTAGGCAAACAGCCACTTTAATCTAACCTTATTATATGCACTTGATGCATGAGTAAACATAAAAATGGTTTTCATGGCACCAATCAAACATTTTGTAAATCATGGAACGTGTCATTGACAAGTACACAACACCTGTCATTAGCAGGTATGAGATCCACAAGATGCAGTGACATATTGAAACCTAGGATCCATGCTTACAATAGACTTAAATATGGGGTTTGATTCCCCTCATGGTTACAATGTGTGAAGCCCATTACTGGTGTCATCTGCAGCGACATCACTGGAATATTGCTAAAAGCAGCGTAAAACAAAACTCACTCACTCACTCACTATAAATATGAGCTGTTTTTTGTAATTTAGGGGTGAGAGACCCATCCTCTGTTACGTTCTTCTGGCATCTATTAGAGGCAATATGGTACCTATTGACTGTACATATGTGTAACGTGTTGGTGAATCGTTGGCCTGCAGTGTCGGTGACTTGTTGATTTATTTGCGCTGTAAGGCTTCGACTGTTTCGTTGTTGGATATCAGTGAGGTTGTCTCTATTACCTATCATTATTTGTTTCTAGGCAGTCTGTGATACGAGACATAGGACACAATTATTGATTAACTGTTTGTACCCTGTTGGAATATGGCGAATTGTGCAATACATTGTCTTTAATCATTTGTCACTTGTTCTGTTTTCATTCAGCCTGGGAGATTCCAGGTGGGAATTTGTCCTCATTTGTATGATGACAGTCTGAACAATTTAAACTGGACCACACAATCCAGTGATGGACATTGGACAGGGAGCAATTATTTACAGACTGTCACGAGACACCATGAATATTGCTCACAGTGGCATCAAACAATGCTGATACATTCCACATGTAAGCATGTTGGAGAGGCAGTTTTATTAATAAGGGTGTTTGCACCAATAAATAATGAATAACATAAATAACAAAGTTGCATAGAGTAACAAAAACATTTGAAAATCACATTCAAAAGCTCCTTGACTGATTCACTGTCTTTTAAACACAAATGGGAGTGAAAAGAATGAAGTTGCACAATACAGTAAGAGTTGTGGACAGTCTCCTGGTTCTCCACCATATACAATGCCGACTGAAAGACTCCATGGTCTGTCATTTCCTGACAAATCCACACTTCTATAGTTACTCAATCCCTGAAAGTGACTTACTGACTGTGTGAAAGTGATTCACATTGGATTACAGTGTACCAGCTACAAAACCAGGTGCGTAGCAAGCCAATTCAGGGGTGGAAATTACCCATTGCCCGACGTCCGAGTCCAGTGTTTTTTTCTGTCAGGCAAGCAAATTTGTATATCACACTGTACCGGTGTCCAGTTGACTTTCCAATGTTAATAATGTTGTTTATTTAAAAAATCAACAAGAAAACAGCCGGTATAGTGGAAAACTTATCAGGGCAAGTGATTTTACATGTGATACTGTACCGGAGTACACCAGCAATTTTGAAGTTATTTCCACCCCTGCAATTTTTTCGTGTAAGCCTGATTAGCTTTTTTATATAATGGAAGCTACCCCACAGAAAACAACTGCAGAGGGGTAAAGAACTAGTAACATTTTGACCAATCAAATTTCCCCTTCAGGAAGATAGGGTTTGATCATAAACCATACAGGCTCTTCATTCACTTGATTTAAACAATTTAGGTGAATTACTAATTTATACATGTCGACTAAATCGTTTTCTAAGTTCCTATTGTAATTTCTTTTGTCTGTTATTTCCCACATATATCTGGTATTTATCAGGGCTTCTACATTTCCCAGGCCTATACATTAACTTAACTGTCTGGTGATAATTTCAATCCTTTAAACACTGACATCATACAACTGGACATTTCTAAGTGAGGCATTAAACAAAACATTTTGTTTCAAGTAAACACCAAACATGAATGATAAATTATTAGGACACGCAAGTGCTGCCTGTTTGCAACAATGCAAGCTGAACATTTGATCACACTTCAGTACCTTAATATCCTATTAATGACACTGGGTATTCTAACAGTACAGGAACAGCTCAACATTACTTTTGCTGACTCACAAATGCATGACTGGCAAACAAATGTGGACACTTAGACTTTCAGGTCTTGTCTGCAGTACATTTATCAACTTGAGACATTATTGGCTATATAATGCCACATTAATTCTTTGGTAGCTGCACCTCATAAGGGCTGCAAGATCGTTGTATGTTCCCCAGTGGTTGATAATGATAGAGGTCAATTGTCAGGTCGGTGCTCAACTTATCTTTGAGCCAGTAGAGCTAGAAATCTGGTGCTTAGTACAAATATCATATAATAATAATAATGGGAATAAAGTACACAAAGACACCAGAGACTTCCTGAGATGGAGCGATGGCCCAGACAGCAAAATGGAGGTCTGATTCAAGAAACATTTAAAAGTCTACTTGTTACCACACTTGGTGCTTTGTATTGGCGCTAACTGGACAAAAAAGAACTGGTGATCTTGGAGAACAGGAGACAGAAGACTGGGAAACTGTGCCATGGTATTAAACTGTGCCATGGTACAGACCAACAAGTCCAGACAAGGAGACACACACAGCTACATGAACATCACTACATAAGTGCAATAATCTTGAACCCTCTAACTCCATTTCACCTCAGCTCATTAGATAAGCATCTCCATCTGTGCCTTTGTTGTTTAATGCCACATTCAGCAATATTCCACCTATATGGTGGTGGTCTGTAAATAATAAGGTCTGTACCAAACAATCCAGTGATCAACAGCATGAGCATTGATCTACACAATTAGGATTTGCCAGTAGATGACATGTGTCATCAAAGCTCAACAAGTCTGACCACCCAATGATCCAGCGAGCATTGACCTATGTAGCCTTTCCACGACAAGCATGGGTTGGTGAAGACCAGTTCTACCAGCTAGTATAAGGTTACACATCAGTCTATAACTTGGTTTCCCTCAACCATCAGAAACAATTTCTGACCATCTCAAGAAAGGCACGTCAAGCTGTCCTCCCACATTAAGCTGAATCATGTTCACATGGCAAATGTGCTTGAAACATCCAGGGAGGAAATGACATGTAAACAAACCCTGGATGAGTGAGGATGGTGCCCTACACTAATGTTCAACAGAGGGTAGTGTGAGAGGTGTGAGGTGCTTCAGTGAGTGAGTGGAGCCTTCAGTGGACACAACAGCGACACAACGGTATCATGCTCATATGGAGAACTTTGTCTAAGAGTTAGGTGCATGTGTACCCACCTGGACCATTATGAGGAAGACAACACTTATCTGTTCATGTCAAAACAGTTATATCAAAAGTTTATTGCAAGTATATTGTTGATGAAATAACCCCATTAAATCAGATTGTTTACCTCTGAGTTAAGACTAAACATCACCTTCAATGGCGGTGCCCTCAGATCATAGGGGAGGCACCACATCTGAGTAAAAAATCTGATTCTAATGAGGTTGTTGGTGAATTGGAATGGGAATTCCAATCTTTCTTTTAAATAGGCTCTAGCCTCATTTGGCTAAGTAATCTTAATGCTGCAACTGCCCAACATTTATGGGATTCCTTTGACAACAACTCCAATTTGACCAGGCTGCTAAGGGACACAACTCTGCACAGCAGGGACTTATGCCTCGTATAACACAACTACCTTCAAGAAGTCCTGAAACCTTTCACGACGAGGTTTGCTCATACAGGATCCCATCTTCTCATGAAGAAAAAGGTAATTTAAGACATGGCCTCATATCACACATCTGCCTTCAAGAAGTCCTGAAACCTTTCACGATGAGGTTTGACGTTTACAGGATCCCATCTTCTCATGTAGAAAAAGTAATGTGAAAACATGGCCTTGATGTAGAAGAAAGGTGAACACTGGCTTCATGGTTGATGTAAAGATTAGAAGTCCAGTTTAGATGAAGGTCCACCACACGCCAGGGACGTGGGTTTAAATCTGGGTGCAGGGTCCTCTTGCTCTCGACTGGCCGACTCCGACAACTCGGGGTAGGTGCAGCTTCTGGCAAACATAAAATACAACACAATGGGAGGACGAGAAAAATCAACAACACCTCATTCTTTGCTCTTTTTGTATGTATGTTTTATGAAAAAAATGAGCTATTACCTGTGAGTGAGTGAGTGAGTTTAGAAAGTTTTACAATGCTTTCAGTAATAATCTGAGCTTCACACATTTCAGCCATGTAGGGAATCAAACCTGGGTCTTTGTCAAGACAAGCGAATGCTTTAACCACTAGGCTATCCCACCACCCCTATCACCTCAGAGGTCCACAACACAAATGTAGGAGTATTTACCCATGTATACTGAGAAGCTCTACAGGCAAACCTAGCTGTATAATAATTTCAGTATTGCACAGAATTTCAAGAATTTGAAAAAACAACTATAAAGAATGTGCAGTGAGAAATCCCAATGGCATACAGCAGATTTTCTTCATATAAAAATGAACCCACCTCTATTGTGAATTTTTTTCGCTTGAGTTTGAATGCCAGGTCCAGTGTGTCGGGCATATGAGAGACGAGAGAGTTGAGACGTGGTAGTTGACGAAGGTGCAACAGACCTGAAATATAGCAAGGTTGAGGTTTGTTTCTTTGTTTATTCTTTAACTTTGCTCTCAGCAATATCCCAGAAGTAATGGGAACCAAGCCTGGACAAAACAATCCTGTGATTGACAACAAGAGCATCAATCCATGCAATGGATATGATGCTGTTGTTGACACACATCAACCAAGTTAGAGGGTCTGGTCTCCCAATACTGTTAGTAGTGGTGGTCCGATTAATTGAAATAATCGAAGATTGGTCGCAGTGACTAAACGACCAAGCAATCGATCATAATTTCTCATAATCGAACACAAACAATTCTGGAACACTTGTTTTCATTAACAATATTTATCACATGGTTGGTTTTGTCTGTTACATTTCGCAAGCACTGCAAGCTCGTTTCAAGTCATGATTGAATTTATCTTAAAGATTCCAAGAAATTTATGTTCCTAACATACTAGTCATCCTTTAAAGATGTGAAATTTTGCCAAAAAACGCCTAAAAGAACTACATGTTTTTTCCTTATTTTTATGTGCATTAACAAATTTCATAAATGACGCTAACCAATTATTTTCGATGATTGATCGGTGGTAATGAACCAATCATCAATTATGAGATTTGAACCAATTCCCAACACTACCTGTTAGTCGCTTCTTCCTACAAACATGGGCTGACAAAGCCCGATTTGCCCCGGGATCAATAAGGTGAGTGAGTGAGTTCAGTTTTACGACACTTTTAGCAATATTCCAGCAATATCACGGCAGGGGACACCAGAAATGGACTTCACACATTGTACCCATGTGGGGAATCAAACCTGGGGAATCAAACCTGGGTATTCGGCGTGACGAGCCAACGCATTAACCACTAGGCTACCCCACCAACCCAATGATGTCAAGGAGTGTTTCACATCCCAGTCTACTTCTGTTCAACAATATCTTGCTGATTTGTAAACAATCAAGTTTTCCACAAGCAAAATATCTGGGACCAACTTCAACTGGAATCCCTACAAGGACAAACATGGAGGAGACAGTCTCCATTACTCTAAAGTATGTCCTTTTTATGAAAAGACTGTTCAAAGCAGGACCAAAATCAAAATTTGTTGCTCTTGGCTCCACACACTATATTCAGCTCCTTGCTCCACAGAAGATCTATCACTCTAAGGTTGACACATGATGTGTACCATCTGATTAAAAGTGTAGTAGAGTGATAACTTACCATGATATTCCTTAAAAGCAGGATTTTTTCCTTGATAGAGCCAGCAAAACTTTCGAGCCGTATTGCTGTGTCACTTAGACGAACAAGTCTTTCCACAAAACCTGGATCCTGCTCACAGAAAGAAAGAGAATATTCATCAATTATAGTTCATAGGACACATCATGTGTCATCATCATTTCATTACTGAAAGGAAAGTGAGTGAGTGAGTGAGTGAGTTTCAGTTACGTTACTTCTACCAGAATTCCAGAAATATAATCACATAATGTGCATTTATTTACAATCATATCTTACTGCACATGTAATATACCTCGTAATGGAATGTTTTAAATTTCTGAAATAAAACCCAGAAATTAAAGAAGTGAGATTACATTTGGTCCACAGATTTAAGACTGACTGACTGACTGAGATTACATTTGGGCTTCACACATTGTCCCATGTGGAGATTCGAACAGATTTAAGAAGAGCCCCAGCTTGTCTTTCAGTTTTAGTCTGTTTTAGTTAATCTTAAAGTGTTTAATATGAAATTGGTATTGTGTGTCACATGATATGTGACTGTTGAGGCAACAGGAATTAGCACCACTAGAGATGACAAGAGATGACGTACCTGGAACAGGTGAGAAGGTACGGTGATGAGACAACAGGCATAGGCTGACCTCAGCATCGACCTGAGTGCATATAGGAAGCGTGGCAGCGAGGGGTCTGAACTCCCATCTGGCCCCACCCCTCCACTCTCACCCCACAGCGGAGACCCCAGGGAGTGTATTGCTGCAATGTGATGGGAGGTGTGGTTTATACAGGAGACAAGGTGAGACATCAACATTGTCCAATTTGATTTGTCTTACGGACCGATTTAAAGCACAAGTTACAAACCAGGCTCAAAAGTTGGGTTGGTTATATTAACAGTATTGCGGCCGATCCCAAGGATTTCGACACAGAAATTCAAAGTTGAAAAAATGCATGACACACAAAAGAAGGCCCTCAAAAATCTGATGGAAAGGATGTTGTCACATCCATGTCCATGGCCCTTACCCAGTCCTGTTTTCCTCATCTGGGCCTCGATTTTTTAAGCTCTCTTAACGCTAAGATAGTCGTAAGTGCCATACATTAACATTAACTTACGACTATCTTAGCGATAAGAGAGCTTTGAAAATCTAGGCCCTGGGGTGTGTGAGTTTGGTTATGCTTCTTTTAGTAATATTTCTCTAATATCACGGCAGGGGACACCAGAAATAGGCTTCACACATTGTACCCATGTGTTGAATCGAACCCAGGACTTTGGCGTGGCGGGTGAACACTTTAACCACTACCCCATCGACCCTCCTCATCTGGAAGTTTTTTCTTCAGTAAAATGTGGAAACTGGAGTGAGTGAGAGTGTGAGTGAGTGAGTATGATTTTAAGCCACTTGTAGCAATATTCCAGCAATATCACGGCAGGTGACACCAGAAATGGGCTGCACACATTGTACCCGTTTTGGGAATTGAACCCACAAGGCTACCCCACCACCCCTTGCTTTGGATGGAACAACACACGTAAATATATGTAGTCCATCAATATGATGGGAAGATCTATGTTGTCCTATTAGATTTGTTTGTTTGTTGTTTAACAATGCTCTTAGCAATATTCCAGCAATATGCTACCAGTCTGTAAATAATCGAGTTTGGAACAGACAATCCAGTGATCAAAAGCATGAGCATCGATTCACGTGATTGGGATATGATGACATGTAAGTTAGCGAGTCTGACCACCTGATTATGTTTGTTGCCTCTTACGACAAGAATGGTTTGCTGAAGACCAATTCCAACCCCGATCTTCAAGGAGTTTTCGTATTTGACAGAGATCTTACCTATCCTAAGTATATTTCTGTTGTCACACTGCTGGCTGGTGGAGAACTTGCCAGACTCTATCCGGCTGTGTATGTACTGGAGCAGTCTGCTGTAGTGTGGGGTCATGAAGGGACAGGGGTCAAGGCTGGCAAGGGACAGAAATCTTGCTTTAGCATGTTCATCTTTAACATCATCACCTGTTCATTTCAAAACTACTTCATCGACTTGCAGGAAATCACTACATAATGACTCAAAATGAAAAAATATTTGTTCACATTTGACAATACTTTTGACAAAGTGAAAAATGTACAGACTTTATCATATTTGAAGTCGTTCTTAATAAATATGAAGTGTACTATGTTGTTTATACAGCAAATACAATCATTATTCCCTTCTCTGTTAACTGCTTCACAAAGTTTGATTTGGAAAGGAAAATGAAATGAAAGTACTGTATAAAAGCATTAATCTGTACCTCTGTGTTGCCGCCAACAGGTATAAACATGGCTTGAGGCAGCATACATTCACATCCCCTCGGTCTTACCTGTGCGTAAAGTCATGTGTTGACAGTGTTGTGACATCAGAGCTGCCAACTGTTTCTGCCGACATGGACTTTGTCAGATTATAATAATGTCCGAATTTGGCGGAGGGTTGGTTAGACTGCAAATAATAATACCTTACTGATTGACATGAGGTTTGCATCAGCCACATCTTCATAATGTCATCCAAACATGTCCAATATTTGTGGGCAAAACTTACCAGGATTTCTTGTACTTAAGGCCCTGCAAAATTGGGCCGATAGGCCTAAAATCAGCATTTTTTCCAGTTTTAGAGGCATGGACCTAAATCAAATTCTTTAATTCTATTATTGGGAGTGATGTCCCTTGGTAAAAGCACACAATGATTGACTTAAAATGCTCATTTTACAATCAGGGGTACCATTGTGTACAGGACACACTGGACTCTTGAGGCAGGTTAGATACCTAACACGGGAATAGCTGTGCCACACATTCTAGACCTGAATGGGCTGCATTACATTATATTTGTTTCAGTGTCAGTATGACAGACTATGGCTTACCCTGCTTACTGTTGATGTGACAACATGTATCTCTGAGGAAAATTATAAAGCTATGACATTTAAACAACAAATACGACTGTACCTCACAACTTAAAGTGACCAGTTGACCTTACCACTCACCTGAACTTTAGGCTTATTCTGGTATCTCCAGGCGATCTTCATAGACCCTGAATCGGATCCTTCGGACATGGCCTCTTCTGGGTCGTCTGTAATAGGGGCAGGTAACTCCTGCAGCAACAACAGAACAGTGCTCAACATCAATATTTCCATACTTGACTCATCCAAAGACATATATAGACATATATACACTGAAACCTGTCTAAACCGGCACCCAATGGGACCGAAATAAAATGCCGGTTTAGACAGGGTGCCGGATTAGACAGTGACGATAATTTTTTAACATGGCTGCCATTTACACTCGCCAATCTCTTCATTCCTGATTATCTAGCATGCCGAGAGGAGTGTATTGGATTAAGGGACCTTGACTGGATGCTACTACCCATGCCGGCTTAGAGCGTTTGATTCACCACGCAATCACTACTTCCTGGATATCTTGCGTGCCAAGAGGATTAATTAGTGTATTGGATTATGGGTCCTTGATTGGACTGCTCATACCCATGCCGGTTTAGACAGTGTTAATTACAGTTAAAATTGCTTGTTGGGACCGGAAAGTCGTGCCGGAATATGGAATAGACAGGTGCCGGATTAGACAATGTTTTAATTATCATAATATCGTTGTAAAAAGGCGGGACCAAACTTTTATGCTGGTTTTGACAGTGTGTCGGATTAGACAGGTGCCGGTGTTGGCAGGTTTCACTGTATTTACGTCTTTCTCTCATCCTTCCAGAATGTCAGTCATGAAGTCTTATGATAATCCTGAATACACTGCCAGTTTGTGATCACCACTTGGGTCTGTGTGATTCTACCTGAATAAGAGAGTTGGGGTCTGTGTGACTTTACCTGAATGAGTGAGTTGGGTTCTGTGTGACTCTACCTGAGTGAGCCAGTTGTAGTCTTTGTGACTTTACCTGAATGAGTGAGTTGGGGTCTGTGTCAAGATCTGCCAGCAAGGTTGAGTGCCTGGTCATGACACTCTCTGCCACAAAATACTTCACCAGAAGTCTTGCATAGCTACCATATGTATCTTCCTCTGGAAAATAGGATTTGGAATACATAGTCAACATAGTTATCACCAAACAAGAACATTACGTTTACTGGTTTTATCCATGCATCCTTAATGTCTAATCAGAAGATCCACAAACCTACCAATCAACAGCACTGTGCCAACAGCCAAACCACCACCTGCAGGTAAAAACAAACAAACTGATTATTTATTTTATTATGCAATATTCAGGACACATAAAAGCAGCCTTTTAAAAATATTTAAAAACAACCCCAACTTTGTAGATTTATACTGAACTCCTCAATATTTGAGTTGTATGATGGTAAAACAGCAATATTTAACCTGTAACTGGCCTGTAACTGAGTCTGGCTTTATGCAGCTCTCATTGACCACCCTTTACTGGCAGTACTCATCTGCGAGACATTGTGAAGGGTAATTATGACCTGTTTGATTCATATACATCCTGAAAATTTAGTTTGAAATTAGATTTTGGTACTAAATCTTTGATGGAAATTTAAAATGTTGGAAGAAGAAGAAGACATAAATTTTTGTTTGTTTGTGGTTTAACATTCAGCAAATTTCCAGGTATATGATGATGGTAAATAACTGAAACTGGACAATCCTGCGACCGATATCATGAGCATTGATCTACACCCATGAGATAAGATACATGCATAAAATAAGTCAGCGAGACTGACTGATGGGTAGCACCCTGTACAGTCAAGAAATGACCCTGCATCGTCATGTCTTGACTGTATAGGACCGCCTCGCGGCTCTCGGCTACTCCATGGGTTACATCAACCCTTAAACGGAAAATGACTTCTCTATTGTTTGTAATGGCATTGCTGGGCTACCTCTTGCATCAGATGCCACTTCATCAGGTGAATGATGAAGGGGAAAGAATATTCTGAAAAGTCATAACAAACAGCATTTTTGGGCCACTCTTACTTGTTATCCATAAAAGGTTCATCTCTTCAGAACATGTGAACTAGTGTCATGAAAAGGTTGCGCTTTAAATAAACACGTAATACTCGTGACAAATCACGAACATTATGACATATCATTATCTGAATAATGTTATATAACATCGAACGGTATTTGACACTTCGTCATTTCCGTATGTTTTGATAACAACCGAGTTCAGCTTAACGGCATGCAGGATCAATTTCACAAAGACACAATTGATGATTTAATACCTATAACATTATCTAAAGACGGGACACCAGTGGATATCAATAATTGACTGTTTAACAAGGATGGTTTCGTTCCAGATATTTGCGGTACTTTCACACGTGTTTTCTTCTGAAAGCTTGTTGATGCTGCCATGTTGATATTATGTTTAAGTCGATAAACACTGTACGGTTGTATCATGGGGAAATAGTTCGTGCTTCCCATATACATATTGGATTACATAAAGCACCAACATAATTTATATTTAACAATATATGTTTGAATTATGTGGTAATGAAAGTAACCAGGCAACGCGCTTCACAGCCGTTTTTAATTTATCGATTAGTATACACTCTTGTGTCTTGGAGATACGGAATTTGGAGTACTATATTCCTAAAAACTGTTCTCATACATTACAGTTCATACTGTATTTTCCTGAATAAAAGAATTAGGTATAACAATCGGTGCACAGTGTGACATACTAAACACAAATGGACAAATATAAACTCAAGAGATTAAAACTATTAAAATTACAGTGTACATACAGTTGGAGTTCGCCGGTAGAATAGTTAGTGATTCATCTATATATAGCCCATATAGAATTATTTCCGATTTATGATCCTGGATAGAATAGGAAAGAGTCGCTCCATGCTCAAACGTAACATTTAAATCCACATATTCAAATGACGTTCTTAATCTTATAGTAGCCCGAATGCCACAAGGCATTTCTTGATAAAACTGTAACAAGTATATGAAGATACATGTATCGAAGGGATTACATGTTCATCACTAGAATACTTGGGCGAATACATATGTATTGCGTTCTAAGTGAACTTGTAGAGTAGAGATGATATTCAAATAAGAATGTGCGTGCTTGCATCAGCGTAAAATCGCGGTGATAGTAACGGTAGTTCAATTATTTCTCATTTCATGCGAAGGTCCTCGTGATAACAGTATTAGTTGGGTGGTAAGTAGTACCCGAATGTAAACAAGTATGTGTTCATTGCACGTGCGTTCGCGATCTCCTGTTATCTTTGGACGTATCAGAGATGAAATCAACTCTTCTGTTTACGATTAATTGTTAAAAAGGAATTAACGGAATTCCGATTTTTGTCAGTACTGGGAACATAGTTTGAAAAATTGTTTTGAAACTCCCGCCTTGACAAGTTGTAATAGCCTAGCAGACGACGTTGCAAGTCAGAGGAGCAGACGACCGTTTACATCCGGTTAATTTCTTAGTTTAGTTTGTCGTCAAAGTATATGACGTGCTTCTTTTAGGTTCACAATTTTGTTTGCATGTTGACAGGACTGCACAAGAGGCACACCAAGGTAGGTATATTTAAGATATGTCTTGTTTTTCAAAATGACCTGGTGCATTTAGGCTAGACTTTAATTTGTGACTTTAGAGTCAGAAAATTACGTGCACTTTTAAAAACGAGCTAAAGTTTCTCATACCTCGAAAACCATTAGTGTCATTTATGCTATTTGTCGGGTTTTATACATAGTGAAGTACTTTCAGGTATGATATTAATTCAACATACAGAATACTCAATGATGGTACTTCGAATTTATCAGCTGATGTTGTTTGCTATTAAATTAAAAAAATGCTGAAACAACACCCAGAATCAAATATTTACAGACGCTTCTGATGCCCAATACAGCTTCTGATGCCCAATACAGTATAGATCTGTTGTTACTCACATCGTAAATGTTAAAATTGATCATAATAATGTTCATACCACATCTTTTTGAAAATAACCTCAAACAAATCTGGATTTGTCCAAATGCAGCATATGTTTTTCTATCTTATAAACTAAGTCTATTTCATTTACTGTGTGTATTAAACATTTATAAAAAGTCCCAAATACTTATACATATCAGGAAATATTTATTTCAGAAATGGATATCAAAACATACATGTCGTGTAAGAAACCTAGAAGATCAATACGCCTTGAAGGAAAAGTTCAAGAACATATGAAAGAATCAGCCATAAAACAGAGCCCTCTTGGAATTTTCGACATATTGCCTCTTGAGTTGAAATTCTACATACTGAAGTTTTGCTCAGGTTTGTTATTTTAAAATAAAATATATATTCAAATGTTTCCATGTCATATCTTATCATATTTAAGTGATATTAATTCAAAATTGGAGAGACTTATTCCCATTCATATTCCTTTTATATGCATTTCTTTGTTCATAGATTTTGTCTCCTTAAGGCCCAAAAACAAATGTTGTGGTTCCGATTTCCTACATTTCAGAACTAGGGTAGGTAGGTAGGGTTTTTGTTCTTTTAAAAAATATTTTTTCATTACTTATGTGTCAGAAAATAAATTTAATTTATTATGTGGTGAGTAAAATTGTTAGGCTCAGCCGGAATATTTAGGGTCGGTCGGGAAATCGGAACCACAAGCTTTTTTTTTTAGGCCTAATTCAACGTACAGAATATAACTGAGTTTGCTACCTTTCATCTACTCAATGATGGTACTTCAAATTTATCAGTTGATGTTGTTTGCTATTAACTTTCATTTGCTTTACAGTTATTGATTTGAGTCTTATGACAATTACATCAAAAGCGATGAGGAATTTGATTGAAGGATACAGAGTAACAAGGCCTTTGAGTCGTCACTTCTTGGAATTGCCAGATCCTCATGTCATACTGCCATTGAGTGAACAAGCAGAGTATTTAAAAACTACCAAAGATTAGGTAATGCTGTCACAGATGCCTTTATCCAGTGTTGAAAGTTAAATGCCAAGTGACCTGAATGTGGAACTCTTTTGTATTTCACTTTTAAAAAATGTACAACTTGTATTTCTGGTTATAAGGTTATAAGATAACTGCTAACTGAAAATTCGGGTTAGAATTGATCTTCAGTAACCCATGCTTGTCGTAAGAGGCAACTAACAGGATCTGGTGGTCAGACTTGCTGACTTGGTTGACACATTTCATCGTATCCCAATTGTGTAGATCGATGCTCATGCTGTTGATCACCAGATTGTCTGGTCCAGACTCAATTATATACAGACCACTGCCACATAGGCTAGCTGGAATAATGCTGAGTGTGGAGTAAAACTAAACAAACTTTAATTGCTAACAAGTCATCTGTTTTATACTTCTATAATTACATTAAGTCCACCAAACTAAAAAAGACAAGATATGAACATTCTCTTTACCTGAATCCTGGCAATGTGTATGTGCACTATGCATATTTGTCATAATTTGTTTAATACTGAAGCTGAAAATTATTTTCATGTGAATTTCATGAATTTCTGTTGTTGTTTTTCAAATATTTTATATGGACCTGATCATCATTCAGTAATAATATAGATTTGTGGATTTCTTTACAGGCCTGCTTATGAAGAGGTCCTCATGCTTGTACGCAACAAAGGAAAGGCTGAAATTTGTCAATGATTTCCTGACAAGGGTAAAATGTTTTAATATGATTGTTGTAAACATAAAAGCCATTATGGTATGAGATGTCCATAATGTAATTGTATGGGGCATAGTGGGTTCAGTTGTCTGATGTGTCACTCTTAGCTATGAAGGATCCTCTGATTTTAAGTTTGATTCTCACATTGGCCCCTATATTGATCCTCTGGTTTCCCACCACAATTATTCCTAAACAGCCAACATCACTTTAATCTGACCTGACAAATTAATATGACCAAAATAAAGTTCATAGCAGCATTAAACCCAACTAACATATTAAGAAATCACCACCATTTTTAGTTGAGATAATCGGACAAAAATCAAACTTGTCTTAAACTGTCCTTATCATTCATTTGTATTCTTGATCTTTTATGCAGATGATGTGCTCCAACTCCAAACACTGTACTGATGCAATAAGTTGTGTGGCTTTATGCAGCTTTGGGCATTTCTTCCATACTGTGATAGCTGGTTGGGATGACAGTGAATGCCAGAAAGCATATGATGTTGTCTGTCAACATTCATGTATACTCAAGACACTGAAATATGTAGTGTCTGGAAATCCAGGTGATTATAGTGTAAAGGTTACCTCAACAAATGTTTCATAACGGTTTTGTAGACAGAGACTAGACTGATTATGATCCTGTCATTGTGAAGAATGACTAGTGTGAAAACTTCAGACACCAAGTGTTAATAATGTATGACAATGATGATGTTTACCACCAGGATACTTCATTGCTTCTACCCTAAAAATAATTTTGAATTAGAAAAGCAAGATTTATGGATGTCAACTTCTTCATTGTGAATAACACGTTTTAGGGTGTATGCATGCTCCTTCATCAGGTAAAGCAAGCAAACACTCCGAAACATTGTGTTATTCACAATAAAGAAGTTGACATCCACAAATCTTGCTTTTCTCATGCATTCCACTGATAAATGCCATTCAAAGATTTAATTTTGAATTGCCTACAGGAAGTAGAGGGAAATGAATATCAATTACATTCTTATGTGTTCAAATAGTTCAAGTGAAAAGGGTTCAGTGCGGGAAGGGGTCATTGCATCCATGAGTTTCCTTGATTTAGAAGTTTATTTAAAGGACTCCTTATATGGTTTACTTATGATATGAGGTTTATGAAAAGGGTCCCTTGAATTTCATGCCTAATTTGGAATACTGCAACAACCATCAATGCCCCTTACCTTTACTACATGCCTGCAGAAAGCTTTTTCACAAGTTGTAACTTTTTGTTCAGGTTACAGTCTGGAACAAGAAATGAAGTGTCGTGTCTTCCTCAGGCGAGTGTTTCTAGATGCATGTCCAACAACGCAAGACAAGGCATTCTGGCTGAGCAGAATTCTCAAGCCTTGGCCCATGGTCCACCAGGCAAAGATCCTTTATATACTTTATGGGGCAGAGACAGAGGGTCAGTATCCAGATTATATGAGAATATAATCAATGTTTTCACTGTATCATTATAATACTATGTTATTATCAAATTGGCTGCCATGTCTTCATTTGAACTGTCATATTCTGACAATGTCCTTAATGTCATGATTTTTAACATATGTTATGTTTGGGATTACACTTTCTTTGTAAAGTACAGATTCTAGTACTTTTGTTGGGTTGAGTCCCATCTGGGATTCGAACCCACACCCTCACAGTCAGGCACCTAATCGCCAGCATACAAAGTGATCCGCCTAACCCGCTCAGTCATCGCAACTTCTAAAAAAATGAAGTTGGACAAGTGTAGTGTAGACTGAGGACTTTGTGTACCCCTCTGATAGGTGTAAATTGATACGGCTCCAATGGCTGAAAGCTATGATTACACAATGCCATTTAGAAAGTGGTCAAATGTAACATATGTTCATAATATTTGGGATTACACTTTCTTAGTAAGGTACAGATTCTAGTACTTTTGTTGGGTTGAGTCCCACTTGTGATTTGAACCCACATCCTCAGAGTTAGGCAACTAATTGCCAGCACACAAAGTCAGCTGCCTAACCCGCTCAGCCACCATGACTTCAACACTGAGAAAGTGTAGTCCCAAATATAAAATAACTGCTTTCTAAATGGCATTATGTGTCATGATTTTGTTTTTCTTTTTTGCAGCAATGAAACACTTAGACTGATCACGTCTATTCATGAATATGCTATGAGATAAAGTATGTTAACATTCAGCAGTAAGACTAATTTACATAAGAATAGGTATATATTTTAGAGCAAATGCCATTCTATTGATGTTGAAGTTGTTTTACAGTGCAGTATAACTTTGTATGTTCTGACATGAAACTAATGTATTCATTCCCATCCACTACATATTGCTTGTCAGTGAAATTAAACTTTTAAGAACTGTGTTGTAAAACACTGCACAGAATATTTATCAATCAGAAAAACTCAGAGAAAATAGTTCCAGATAAAATTGTAAACATTGAGACATGGATATCTATTCAGATAGTCCTAGATGATTAGCAGTCTAAGTCAACAACTCATCAAGTAGCTGATACATCAGTTTATGCGTCATTTTTATCAAAGCGTAGCCTTGACTTTGCTTTTGACTTCATTTTGAGTAGGTATTAATGTTAAAGTAAAGTTTAATTAGCTGACACGAATAGCTTCAGAAATGGGCCTCAGACTAGTGTCTAGACTGATACTGGCATTTCATAAGATGCATACAATCAGAGGTGTAGCTACCATTATAAAACTAAAACCCAGGCTTACACATAATTGTTGCCAGAAGGTTGGGCAAGCCCTCAATAGTATCTAAATATTAAGCTTTCCAACCTATCGGGCTTACACAAAAAATTGGTTTGCTATGCACCTGACGATAAATGCATTTAGCTTAAAGAAGTCCAGGTCTGATGTTTACTATGAATTTGTGAAGTGAAAGTTTATGTGTGTCATTAGTTTGAGTCCTCAGATTCCCCACAACTGAATTTTGTGTCTGACAGTGCAAAAATACAACACATGTTATACAATCTGTCACTTTGGTCCTCATATTTTCCCAGTTGTTTATTCCATGCAATCAGTGGTGAAGAATGCTGTCTGTTCATTCTGAATATTTCCATCTGTCCCTGTTTTCATAAGGTGTTACTTTTTTACGAATGTTTCACTTTTTGTAATGGTTTGCCTTTTTGATCCCCCTGGCGAGAAAATTACTTTGTTGGTCTGACATGTGTCAGCAAAGCACTCCTTCAACATCAGAAGAATCATGGTATCTCAGTGGGCTAAAGCAGTTTGGAGAAATTGCACAAAATACATTGCATGTTCAGATATCTGCACCTCCACCAATGTTTGCCTTTTTAAGGAATGGTCATGACAGATGAACATCATCAGCAAGTTTGGAGAAATTGCAAACATTGTTCAGATGACCTCCACTGGTCAGAAGATGACATCATCAGTGTTCTGGATGAACTTACAAGTAGGCAGCTTTGCCCTTATTCCTGTATTGCCATTTCAGACTTACACAGTCACTGTAATCCCACTGCTCTTATACTGGGGAAACATTAGGACTTTAAATAAGAGTGGCATGACATAACTCTATCTTGTTGAAAGTGAAAATATTATCATTCAGACACTACAGCAGCAAATGTGATGGGTCTTTGTTTGTACTCAATTTACCCTTTCTTTCTTGGTGTCATCGAACCAGTTATGTCATTTAGAAGCTAAATGAATTTTGGATGCATAGAAAGAATATTAATACAGTGTTCACGAATAGCGTCTGACCCTCTGACAAATCCGGCAGATTCGCCAACGGTCCGATAGAAATCTACAACCCGCCGGCCCCAGTTCCTGACTGTATATTTCACAATGACTTTGACTGAAGTTGTTATATGTGACATGTGACACTTGTTTGCTGTTTATAAATCTTATGTTTGTTAATAATTTCAATGCCAATATAAGAAATATTAAATCTGAAATGTGTATTTAATTTTATTCTATGGGTCCTGTGAATTTTCAATGGGTCAGACAGACATCTGAAACTTACAGGACCGAAAGTCCTGTTACTTTGAAACACCATTTGTGAACACTGTTAATAGAGTCTGTATTTATCAAAAACATGCATGAATACAATATTTCAGTGAGTAAAGTGCCCCATTTATCTTATTGTGCTAAATGATTAGCAGGCATGATTGACTGCAGAATTACCTTTTGATCAAGCAGTCACTGCATTGATGTATGGAGCATAAAAGTAGTTCCTATGGAGTGACCTCATTTGCATATCTATTAGATCAGGATACCAAATTCATCAGATTGGTTTATGGCTTTGATCATGGCATAATCCTTTATTTGATAAATGTCTGTCATGTAAACCCTTCTTAATAGCTGTCCACATCATTAACACAAAAACATACTTTATATTATGCCACAAAACAAGATTCAAACATCTTTATCACATACTATGTTACTTACAATGTCATGTCCATGCAGCTGTTTTAAATCAATTTACACACAACGTTTTAAAGACTGATTAATTAATTTCACTTGGAGAAAATTATGATATTGACATATACATGGCTTTTACATCTTCACAGGTTACCCTGATGAATGGTTAGCAGAGAATGTGGCTCATCTTTTACTCATGTGTGGAGATCAGATAACATCCAAACTCCTCATCAGCAAAGCAATCAATGGAAGAATCATCGAACTGTGCAGCATCACTACCTCATTCTGTTTGGTATGTTAAACAGAAAACCAAGATTTCACTTTCAGTTATACTTATCAGTGTGTGCAAAGTATGTAACTCAGATCATAACCATGCATGATCCCTAGGGAGTTGAGATTGATAACACGATGTGCCGTTGAGACTGACATCCATGGATTGAGGAAAAAAAACAGCACCTTGAGCATGTGGATATGTCCGCAATGTAAATATCCTATAATAAGTAAAACGCAAATATTATCGATGACAACTTCTTCTTTATTGTATGTCACAACGTTTCTGGGCTATTCCCTGCCCCTTCGTCAGGTGAAACATTGTGACATACAATGAACAAGTTGTCATCCATGATATTTGCGTTTTACTTGAATACCAACTTCTAAATGCCTCTCAAGAACCTCATCCTATAATAATAATAATAAAAAATAATAATAACCATGTGATCAAAACACATTTTTTGTATGATATTTATTGCCAACAAAAAATATCAGTGTTCACAGAATATTTTGTTAAGTGTCTATGTTTGTTGACATTTCCAACTGTTAATATAAGTAATAGTCTATTGTTCATTTAATTTTGACACAGGGCATTTCTTTAGAGTTCCATGTCTTTTCAGGTGTGTGTGAAGAACAATTTCAGCATGAGCTATGTGATCACAATGCTGCAGAACATCATCAAAGTAATGGACAACCCTAAAGACAGGATGACTTTCATAAACAGCATGATGGACATGTTCAAGGAACTCATCCTTGACATGCATGAGTACACAGAATCAGGTACAGTCAAAATATTTGTTTATACAGTCAGGGTATTGCATAGAAATGAATGGGATTCATGGTGACTCACAGTTAAAGTGTTTTTTGGTCATCTTCTAAATTTGTGGGTCATGAAAATGTTTTGTCAATGAAATAATTGCATTATTAATTCTAAATAAAGCAAGGGCTGTGAAAGCATATTTTGTGATATTGTCCCCTGTTGTAAGTATTCTGATGCAATGCATAGTTACTTATATATATATATATCAACTAATCAATTCATTCATAACAAACTTTAATATAAGGAAATGGGTAAATACACCAGTGATTTTATGTATCATAATTTAACCTGTTAAACTTCCAGGTGCAGTTTACAGTCAAAAAATTAAATTGCTTGACCTTAAATTATCTTTAGGATTTTTTCATAAAATATTGTGTCAGCTATTACAAGTATGAAAATATTTTAGGAGTATTTTACAAAAGTGTTGAGTCAAATATGTAGGAATTATGCATCTTCTAAAACCCTGTACACTGTAATTATTTTTAAAGAACAAGTATTGTTACTCTTAACTTTTAATTGCTTGGGGATGTTTCAATCTATTGGTACTAGCTTTCAGGTCAACTGAGATCCAATATTTGGAAAGTAAACTAAAAAGAAATATTCAAAAAGTGCTATTTTAGAGACCTCAAAAGCTTTTTCTGTATCAAATAATGTTCTGAATATCAATAAATCTTGAATTAACACTGGTGTTTTTTTTGTGAGTTGTTAAGTTATGATATTTTATAGAAATGCAGGGCTTGACATTCACCCAAATTCCCAAACAAGACCACAGGACCAGTAACTTTTAAAAATTACTGATCCTTACAGATTCTTACTGGTCCTGCTAAGGGACATTTAATGTCAAATTCAAATTTGCACTTGCTTTTTATAATTTTATACATTCACATGTTGTCGTGTTCACTTGTTTTTTTTTATTCATTCATTCATATATTTTTTGACAGTTCAAAACCTGTACAATTATATTGACAGCCTTAAATATCTACTAGACCGTCGGGATAGCACTTATCAAAGTTGCACTGGTCCTGTCAACATTTTACTAGACCCGGGCCAGTGGGATAGCGTGAATGTCGAGCCCTGCATTTAAAATGTATTGAAAACATGGAAAGATAATGAAAATACTGTTGTCATATACAGAATGTCTTTTCTTTCAGGTGAGGGACATGATGGTGAACTGTATTACCTTGTCATGGCTCTCTCAGAGTTCACAAAGAGGGTGGTCCATCTTGCATTCAAAAGCCTCTTAGGATAAATTTGTAACACTCGTTACAACACTGTGAGAATGCTGTACCTGTGATATGAACTGCTACTTAATATTGTCGATATTCAGCATTAGTGTGGATAATTGCCCTAATCTTTGCTGGATTTGTAGAAATTTGCCATTTTTAGGAGTTGTACTGTACCGGTATGTTATTATTGTAAGGACTAGTGGAATAAAAAAATTAGTTTCTGTCAGCTAATATCTTTTGATTTAGCTTGAACTCAAATTCTTTGCCCTACTTTTGTTTGACAGAACAACACTGACTCATTTTCTTCTTCTATGTTGAAATGATTTCTATTAGAGCTTCCCAAAGTAATGTTATGTTTGCTTGTCACACTTTGTTGGTATATCTTTTAACCATATATTGTTAGTAGATCATGGGTTTATGAACAGTTAAACATTTGTTATTGTCGTTGTGTTTAAAACCCAGCAGCAATGAAAGATATTGGATATTCTTGAATCATTCCAGGCTATCTACTGCTTATAAAAATGTGAAATTAGAATGAAAGAATGTTGAGTCAGGGGAACATTGCCAATAATAACTTACTGTTCAAGAAAGTCATTCAGAAAACCTGAGGTTGGCAGGTAGAAATGTGTGGTAAAAGACTGCTTGTTTTTCTTCCGCTGAACCCAAATGACACTGATAATATTTTGTACAAAGGTGTAACATATCCTCTTTATATTTATTATATTTATATACTATATGCCTGTATATATATATAAATACATAGTCTCTCCTCTAGTCAGCCCAAAATGTTGCTGGAATATTGCTAAAAGCGGTGTAAAACCAAACTCAGTCAGTCAGTCAGTCTCTCCTCTAGTCAGTAAAAGGATCCCTGCAAAGCAGAATTATTAACTTTGCTGCATCTCAGAGTCAGTTTATGGAATTTCTTGTGCTTAGGGCTGGCTATCAATATTATCAATATGGATCATAGAAATCAATAATCATTGACTAAATATGCATGATATCGAATCAGTAAATTTGAGTAAAAGTAAACAATAAAATTTCATGTCAATGATGAGCAGTGACACATTAATAGTGATAATAATCATAATATGGATTCTTATATTGCGCTAAACTCCACACCAAAGTGTGCTCAAAGCATGGATTACTAACAAAAACTGTGTTAGGAACAGAAGTTAGCTATGAATGATGACATAACTCAGACTTTATTTCATCATTATAGTTTATGTAAGATATTACCTCTGACACAATTTTCGTTGATAATTCTTCCCATCAACAAAATTTTCAATTATCAATCTTTATAGCCAGCACTACTTGCTCTGGATACATATCCAAGTCTTTAATGATATGTGACTATAGAAGAAACTGTCAAATGTTGTGTTTTCATTTGAAATTAAAGATGTTGAAGGATTTCTTATTTGTAAATGACAACTCTATTATGTACAGATTTAATGGTGTAAGTGCTTCTAAAATAGATGTTTGCATTAAAAGGTCTCTTTGTAACATCTTAAATACATGACTTGTCCGTTGTGTCACTAGTTCTGTTAGGCACGAATGCCATACCGAAATGTCTCCCAGAGGTATACAGATTTCTTGACTGAAATATGTATATCCATAACAAGAGTGAAATATTAACATGGCATTTCTTCTGGACATTTGTGTGGCTGTAAGTAAATGTCCTTGTAAATAAGCTAATCTAAATCACTACTATGTATTGAAGATCATAGAATGATTGTTTATGTAACTTAAGTTAATTCAATGTTATACATGTATTTCCTGATCTCTATGAACTGTGATAAACATGAGCCTTTATTTAAAGTTGAATTATGCTGTCACATGTCTTGTAAAAGCTAAATGTAAGTAATAAATGTGCGGCATTTGTTAACTTTGAAAATAAAGAAAATACTATGAAATATTTCTTTTCAGTTTTTTTTCTGTAAACTGAGTAAGATGCAAGAAACCCGTAATCACTTTTATATCCTAATCTGTAAAGGATGAAAGTGATCCATTATTTGTTCTCATATACAGAGTTCATGTTCAAAATATTTACAGAAATGGCACTGATATGGCCTCTTGGGACATTTTAAGTCCAAGAAAGTGGCTTTATTCTTTCTTGAGCATTCAATTCCAGGAGGCTATTGTGTCTCACAGTCCAGCAGAACCACATAATTTCCCTTTCCACCAACCCCTTTTTGCAGTGACAGAGCTTTGTATACATCAGCTAATTAAAAGCAGCAACTAGGATTCTTCCAAATGTCAACGAAAGATTGGTCGAACTGGATTACCGGCTGGTTCATGTCCTGTCATAGGCGTTGCCCATCTCATTCGGAACATGTTCAATGCGAAGAAATCTGGACAATCGACCCTCATGCATGGCAATACAGCCATATTATTCTGTCTCAAAAGTCTGTCACAGTGCATGCGTTGCAACGTGTGGGCGGGCACAATACTACTGCAACGTGGCCTTATGTCCCTGAATTTGCAGGGTAGATCTTAAACTTTGTCGTCCTGGTGGCGTACGCCTTTCAAATTACCATTAACAATGGTGAGTTGGGATTGCATCTAATACCATCTGGCAGTTTGGTATGGATTCCCTACAACCACACTGTTGACGTGACTGCACTTTGACGTTTGGCCTGGGGCTTATTATGAATGAGTGAACAGATGATATTGTGTTTCGATGGACTTTCAAATATCTGTTATTCCTGTGTACAGTAGAAGCCGATTTTCAGGCAATGCTACAGTATCATTAAGTGTGTTATGAGCACCTGATAGCTGAACAATCATCATGTGACGTTTACCTTATAAAACCACGTGTATGAGAATCCTGCTTCTCCCTAACAGACAAATATCCAAATTGTGCGCCACGCTCGAACGTGCTCATACCAATTATGAATCACGACCTTAAATTCTTCATAACGTTTTGAACGGTGCGTCAGTTTCAGAAGAAATGTATTTTTATTGACGTTCATGTTAATCATAGTTACTTCTTCCCGATAGAATACACCGTAGGCAGTTCCTACAGATAGTATGTCAGCCGATACTATGCTTAATTGCATTGGGAGAATAGACTGACTGACTGACTGAGTTTGGTTTTACGCCGCTTTTAGCAATATTCCAGCAACATCACGGCGGGGGACACCAGAAATGGGCTTCACACATTGTGCCCATGTGGGGATTCGAACCCGGGTCTTCGGCGTGACGAGCCAACGCTTTAACCATTAGGCTACCCCACCGCCCCTGGGAGAATAGAAGACGTAGATGTAGATTATCCCTGATTGCATACAGACAGGCCACGTGCATATTGTGTTCTCAGCTCAGTGGGGAATATTCAATCCAAGCTTCTGTGTAGTGAGTTGCTTTAAATTGGTCTCTTAGGTCCAGGCAGACTATAGTGGTTGACAGGGTGAACACATATGACTTCCTCATTTCAGCTCTTACAGATGAGCATGGATTCCCGGTGACCTTTTCTGACACATAACCGAGCAGGTATAAGCTGCTATTGTGCCTTCTCATCTACTTGCTAGCCGTGAAGGTCCGGGTTAGAATATTGATCTTCAGTAACCGGATCGGGTGATCAGGCTCGGTGACTTGGTTGACACATGTCATCGATCGGTGCCCAATTGCGCAGATCGATGATCATACTGTTGATCACTGGATTGTCTGGTCCAGACTCGATTATTTACATACCGCTGCCATATAGCGGGAATATTGCTGAGTGCGGCGTAAAACTAAACTCACTCACTCATCTACTTGGATTCTTGTGTGATTCAGATTCCAGTACAAGAGCTTGCCTCGTGTATTGATTACTGCATCTCGGTAGATGGAAGAACTGGTATGTTGCAGACAGCACATCATGCCAAAGATTGCAGGAAATGTTTAAAAATGTATATCAAAATAATTAAAAACAAATCTGAAGACTGAAATCATACCATATATTTTTATTTCGTAATCATACAGGCAGATATTGAGTAGACATTGACAAAACATAAACAGAAAGCATTGTAGTTAACATGAATGTTATGGTGAATGTAAAACTTTATAGAACTAGGGACCATGCCCTAAATGTATGGAAATGTGTTTCATGTTAACTCGGTCAAATTCAGCTCATTCGATATGAACATTGTAACTGTATGTTTGAGTGAATCATTATGATCATTCACACCTCACACAATTGCATATTCCGTGGATGAAACCGAATAGACCCTGTTAATATCAACAACCATGTCATGTTTATTGTACAATCTGGTCATGGAAAGATAATTATTAAACTTGTTGGCCTGAACGAACTCGCAAGCTTTCTTGTTCTCGATCGGCTGCGTGAAAATGACCTCTCCGTTTTCTGGCACAAATGAAGCCAGTTTACAGAACAGGGCATGAGCAATTTTGTCACTGTCTGCAAAAAGTGGATACATACGAAAGCCAATATCCGCCGCTCTCAGTACCCCATATCCACAAACCTTTCCATTTTGAACGGCAACAACGGTCTTTGCCTTCTGAAACAAGACCCAGTTCTTCAAGTAGGACGGTCTTGGCAATGTATGGATGTCTGCATCGTATGTAACGACGTCATCAAAATTGACGTCTTCTATTGGGATGATGTCAAAATCTCCTTTACTCGGCTCCTTTACGAAGTCAGGGCTCACGGGCCCCATGTTATAGTGGAAAGTATAGGATGGGATGGTCCATCCAAACTGTTCATAAAACGTGATTCTGTTGGACAACGCTGTTCCTCCAACGTTGCGATGATTCATGACGTCCATGACGGACCGAAACAGCGTCTTCCCTATGCCCGTTCCTCGGTATTCTTCTTTCACTATGTTCATTCCCGACGAAGCGAACGTGTCACTGTGTGACAGAATGCCATTGTGTCCTGATCAAAATGAAATATATGAAAGAGTATACATTATTTGTTTGTTAACGTTTAACGCCGCACTCAGCAATATTCCACCAATATGACGGCAGTTTTCTCACCCAAATCTATATCACTCTACATAACATCAAAGCGTCATTTCATCCATCATGTGCTAGTCATTTTTTCCTTATGTACTATATACTTCATGTTATTTGCTACCTATTCTGTCAGTGTGAATGTGTGAGTGAATGCAATGTGCCTGTCTAATGTCTTACAAAAAAAAAAAAAAAAGAAGCCTGTTGCTTCAATCCCTTTTCACTTCAATGGGGTTTCTGCTTCCCTGGGTTGCAGCCCCCATTTGTAACATGGGTTTCTCAAATAAAAAGATTAAAAAAACCCAAAAGAAATATGACGGCAGTTTGAAACCCGGCAGTCTGTAAATAACCAAGCCTGGTCCAAACACTTCAGTGATTGACATCAAGAGCAGCGACCCTGACCATCCGATCCTGTCAATCGCCTCTTGCGACTGACATGGGTTGCAGAAGACCAATTCTAGCCCGGATGCTCACGGGTCAGAATAGATATGAGCGTGTAAAGAGAGCTATCTACATTTACCATAGTGTCGTGAAACTAACAGGGTCAACGTGGCTCTTTGGAGCAGACGGTTTTCAAAACTGAAAATATTGATTTTGGATCATAAACAGAATCACGCCCTTGTATCTTTTAATATCAATGACATCAACGCTCGTCGATAAAAGTTTAATATCCCAAGGCAAACACCGGAGTTATAACTTTTATCTACTCTGGCTGATATATTTAATATCCCGGTTGAGATTCTGTACATATGTTTAGTTGACGTTATTTCAGTCCCTTAATGCTGATACGTTATTCGCCCCGTGGTTGCATCGCTGATTTAAACAACCTTATCTGCAACATTAACTACAGTTGTAAAGAGTTTGCTGTACCTATAACCTCCCCAGTGGGTGTGACCACCACCAACAGTCCCGAGGAATCCGTGTCGAAAATACACTCCAAGTAGTCTCTCTCCATGTTCCACTGGTTGGCGGACGTCAGCTCGTACAGGCCTTGAATGTCCTCGCGGCGCATGCGTCGAACCTCATAGTCAACCCCTTCTCGTGCAGTGGAAAAGCTAAAAATAAAAAAAATTCAACATCATTGAATTAATTCTATCTTTATACTGCTACATGCATCAATATTGACTACATAAAATATATACTCAGGGTCAAAACTTTAGCACAATAACATCAAACATCTACATGTATTATACACATGTCCTAAATAGAATCATGATATTGAAGGTAAAAAAGTGAATAGTTGGTAATTTAAAAAGTTGTTGTAATTTACGTCAACATCAACGATGTTCATAATTTCAGTATGCTGTTCAATTTGTCCGTGGATATATCACATATTTACCTATACATTTTCACATTTCAACCGTATTTATGAACACATGAACATTATTGTTAATAAACTTCACATATTATTTTTCTCTTTTAAAGGACCTATGTTTACTGTCCAGAAAAAACATGAATTAAAAAGTAGAACCGTTACGTTGCTTATCTTTTTACCGTCAGTATATGCAAACCCGAACTGGAGCAGGCATGCAAGTGATCGATAATGTGCCGATATAATCAGCGGGTAAGATTCAAGTCAGATGCACCCATGAAGATCAGGGTTAGAATTGGTCTTCAGTAACCCATGCTTGTAGTAAGACTCTTTTTAGAGGCGACTATAACGGGATCGGGCGGTCAGGCTTCCTGACTTGGTTGAAGCATGTCATCGTATACCAGTTGTGTACATCGATGCTCATGCTGTTGATCATTAGATTGTTTAATCCAGGCGCGCTTGTTTACAGACCGCAGCCATATTGTTGTAGTATTGCTATATGTGGCGTTTAATAACAAACCAACCAACCAACAACCAATCAAGTCAGGTGCCGTTTTCAATCGATACAAATTATGTGGAAACCCATTTCTGAGTGTATGATGTAAGGAGCACATTGTGATAAAGTATTATTTGCTCATGAAGTTCAGAGTATATGAAGGTTTCAAATTCTACGAAATACTTAAAAAACATAATCAAGATAGATTAACTCGCTTCTCAATAATTTCTGCATGCACAGAAGTTGGTATTTCTTACTTAAAATATACACACAGAAAAGTTATATATATTCTACAAAACTGGTATAAATGCGGAGCGATAATTTTGGTTCCCAGTAAAACCGATCAATGGTGAGCTGAGGGCGGTTCATGATAACCTAATGTTATTTTAAGTTTCCACCAGGAAAGCATATGCGAGATAAGATCTGAAAGCTAAAAATAGGGACAGAATTATTTTTAAAATGTTTGGAAAAACCTTCCTCCGCAATACCTCTTTCCAACGTGCGATGCAGGATACGCATATGCTCGTGATAGGTGTAGCCCTCTTGTGAGAGACACAGCTGAAGCAAGTTTCTTCAAAATCTTGGCCATGTTCAGCTTGTTTATGTGTAGTAGTGGCTCACGGAGACCCGGTCAGGGTTTTATAGAAGAGATGGTCCTCGGATAAAATAGGTCGACGACGGCGCGATAATGACACCGTCTTATCTGTTGTTGACGTAGTAGTCGTTATGTGGTCACTACTTCTGCGTTAAAACATTACAGATGCCATCTGTCGTGAAATCGCAAGTGATAATTTCCGAGATAATGCTAAACTTGCAATTGTTTCAGGTTATTCGGCTTACAAAGGATTACGCAATATTACATAATGCTTAAGCTGTTGTGACAAGCTGACACTTAAGCATTTTGTGTAAAAGCCAAGGTTTACGTTGCCTTTGGGTTCTATGTGATACTGTCAAATAAGTCTGTGTTAGTTTTACGCCTTTGTATTTGTTAAATAATGGACTTACATAAGACTCTAAGGCAATAAGTATTAGTTTGAACCGTACATTCTAGATTAAATAGGGGCGGTGGGGTAGCCTAGTGGTTAAAGCGTTCGCTCGTCACACCGAAGGCCCGGGTTCAATTCTCCACATGGGTACAATGTGTGAAGCCCATTTCTGGTGTTCCCCGCTGGAATATTGCTAAAAGCATAAAAACTAAACTCACTCACTCACCCACTCTGGATTAAATAAGTTCTAGTAACAGGTTGTCCTTTTAAAAGGCTGGTGCCTTTGTACTTTCCGCTTTTCTGGAGTTGCATATTATATGGATAGACTTACATAACATCGATGGACTTATAAGTCAATACAGCCTTGGAGCAAGGCTAGGTATGTTCCTGTAATAGGATAGTGTCCAGTAAATAAACTGATATCTTATCAGCTTATCAGGACATGGTCAGCAAACGAGCACCTGACCCCCATGACAAAAGCCTCATCTTATAGAACAAACAACAAAACTCTACCATTTGTCGGCCCTGACACAGAGTGAGTTTAGTTTTACGCCGCACACAGTATGTAGTGGTCCGCAAGTGTAGATTACTGCAAGATGAAGAGAGTCTCTGTGCTTATTCATATTATATTACACTAAGATAATTTGTCAACTTATTTTATGTAACAGGTTTTCATTTCAGTGACTACATGTTCGTCTATACTGAACCCTTGCGTAAGCCTATACTGGTGCATTGTGTGAAAGACTGTAAAAAGAAAAATGGAAAATTGGAATGAAATGGGGAAATAGTTCATTAAGATATACAAGCATACAACTAAACATTTTTATAATATAAATACAGCTCAACATTAAAACATGAACGTAATCCTTAATCCGAAACGAGAATGATAATTCCCGTATAAAAACAGCGCGATGAAATGTGACTTCAATGTGCACCATCCTAGCGTGAGATTGGCCACCTTAATCTCCAGTCGATGCCAAGTAAGTTTTAAACAAAATTCAACCCAACAGGTGTGATAGGAAATACGACCATCTGCGGAGTGAGAAATCGTATTCACTGGAAGCACTCATATAATGTCCGAGAATGGTCGCTGGTATCACGACTCAGTTATGTGGACATACTAACATTTGAACTACAAAATATAAATCTTTTCAACAATTATTGTCCATTGTCTTCAAATGGATAATAAAATGGAACCACGTTAATTTCTTCATTTCTTTACACTGAAGAAATCTTGACATGTAGAAATATGTTTGTTTCTTTTTTCGGATGTTTCAGTTTTCGGCTGCTTCATCTTCCAGTGGTTACAGTGATTCGTGAACAAAACAATATTTCGTTGAACCAACACAGTCGAACTGCATGGTCTGTTTTGCACAAAACATATACATCATGAGACCGCCTCCGTGGTGTAGTGGTTAGAGCGTCCGCCCGGAGAGCGGAAGGTCGCGGGTTCGATCCCCGACCGCGTCATACCAAAAGACGTTAAAATATGGTACTTGTTGGTCCCTGCCTGGCGCTCGGCATTAATGGGTACAACAAGGACTGGTCGGCTCGGAGTCAGTATAATGTGTCTAAGTGGGGTATCCATGCTTCACTGCGGCATGGTATCTCAGTGGACTAGCACCATAAAACCAGCTTCAGTCTGGGCTAGTACAAGCAGCCGCACATACACATACACACGCATGCACGTCGTCATATGTGCGAAACATTCTCAAGTACGACGTTTAACCCAATTTCACATCACATCACCTCACCTCACCTCACCTCACCTCACCTATACATCATGAGTCGGTCCAACTCTGTTATGTCTCAGTTTTGTAGGCGTTGTTACCTGCATTACACATGTAACACATGTGTTCTCTTACTCTGCACCTGTGCTTTGGAACTGTCTCCCTTGTGCCATTAAAAGCTCCGACACAATTGACATTTTTAAGTCCAGACTTAAAACCCACCTTTTCTCTGCATATTACTTATATAATTCAACTGTAGATACTCCAGTGTATATATTCTGTAGCGCTTTGAGCATGCCTTAGGGTGTGGAATAGGCGCATTATTAATATGCATTTATTTATTATATTATTATTTATTACATGTTATATTTGGGATTACACCTTCTCAGTAAAGTACAGATTCTAGTACTTTTGATGGGTTGAGTCCCATCTGGGATTCGAACCCAGACACAGAGTCAGGCACCTAATCGCAAGCACACAAAGTCAACCATCTAACCCGCTCAGCCAGCGCGGCTTCCACAACGTCCACATGTAACCTTCATTTCCAGATGTTTTTGTCAGTGTGATGTCGGATTCACTGGAAGCGGTCGTTAAATCCACAACACGAATACTGTGGTCTGATTCTCTGATATGAAATTCCGGTCAACAGTTTGCTTCTAATCTCTAAGTGGCTTTCCATTCATCCAGTTTTGTCTGCATTGTTGTTTACTCGTGTTAAAGCTTTCTCTCTACACTCCCACGCTAACAGGCTTTCGTGAAACGTCCGCCCGTCTTCAGCAACTCTTGTCATAACGGGATAGTTTGCTCGCCGACGTGGTTGATGCATGCAATGGTGTCCATGCAAATGCGTAGATTGATGCTTATGACGTGGATCACTGGATTATTTACAAACCGCCGTCATATAGCTAGAAAACTGTTGAATGCGGCGTTTAGCAACAAACAAACAGGAAACGGCACGCTGGTGTTTATACCCTGTCTAGAACCAGAGACCATATAATAGAACTATATATGCAAATTGTAGTTATATTACGTAATGTCAGCTTAATGCTGGTGCCAAACTCAACATGACCCAGCACTTTGACACTTTCTACTTCGGCACTACAAGAATCAAATCAGGGTAAATCTGGGATTCGAACCCATGAACATGCAGAGGTGAAAACATATAGCCAAGTTCTCCAAATAAATATGCTTAATGATCATTTTCAAATCGTATCATGAAGTCTTAATTTTAAGATAGTTGCAAAGGCAATAGCATTCATTGAGCAGGTCGAATTCTATCACGTTTCACTTTGAACACAGTGGCCGATTTACGAAAATGAGCTCCCAAATAGCCTATAGGTAACAGAAAACACCCAAAACAACAACAAAAATAAGACAGGCAGACAGGTACCCGAAGAATACGTCTTTAAGTTATATGGAAAAGAATGAGGACCTGTTTGTGTTAGATACAATACAATAATAAACAGCTGAGCTCCTAATTAAACAAAACAAGTATATAATATATGTTATATGCTAACCATAACCCCCATCCCATCCCCACTTTCAAACACCCATAGCCTATTTGTATGTTTCCAAGTGCGCAATATATTTTTACTCAAACTAACCTAATTTCAAAACGAAGTATATCACCCGATTCGTCGCAACCGTGCATCAGGTTCAGTTGTCTTTTATTTTTAATCAGCAAGCATTTTTAAAGATCTCAGCTAGTTCTACTGTATGTGAAAATTGCAAAGAACCGTTTCTTATAAATATACTGAAAATGGAATAATGTGCGGTAACCAGAAGACTAATGAGGGTGTATATCGTAGTCTGGCATTAGACTTGTTGATTGACTGTTTCTATAAATATCTTCGGTTCCAGTATCCGAGATATTTCATTTGACGTCACACAGTCTTGTTGTGGGAAATTTGTGAGCAGAAAATGATGATTTCTATGACATACTAGTATCGTCACGACTTAATACAGTTTGTATTCATAACTTCTACATTGTGTTATGGATTTATGTCATATTTAATATTTCCATATTGTATTATGCGTATGTGTCCAAATATATATTAGTTATAGAAACTATATCACAATTTGGAGTGCATTTGCCCCTGAAACGATGTGTAAATACAGCAGTGTGAAATAGTCGTGCGGTAAATAGTCTCAATAATGCCAATGACCAATAACAGAATTGATCAGAAAAAATAGACAGCTTATTATGGGTTTCTAGCAAACGTTATTGGCAATCTATCGTCGACTGATCTATTTTCAGTTCTGTAGGTAATTTTATTTTGTATATAACAACGGATTTCGTGTGCTCTGCCCCATTAAACGGAGCGGCAGTCATGTTGAGCGAAGACAGTTTGCGAAGCATCGAGTCCGGTTCCGAAACAGATCTTACCAATGTGCTTGAAGCATTTAATTCAGAGGTGAGTTTGATGTTCAGTTTCTATAGTGCTCATCCGTATACTCCTACTTTTGAAGCGAAACCCGCAATAACACCCGCTACCTGCTCAATTGTGCTATTCTGACATGTGATTTTAAGGATTTGTGTTGCAGTGCTTGTAGGTGTCAACCCTAATTGGTTTCCTATGAAATGTTATCCCCCATCTTTGACAGTTGCACCTTGATGTTGATCCAGAATTCAACGCATACACTGCACATTGACTATCTTTGTATATGCAGAATTGAATGTTAATCCTGTGTATCACTCTGTGAACTATTAGTATTGATAATCCAGTTTGTACCAGCCTGCATAGCTTTTACATAGTAATTTTCTCTTATCATGGTTTTCTTTTCTGAAGATATTTTCATCTTGGGTGATTATTGGTGACAAAATCAGAGACTGCAGTGATTGGCATATTTCTCCATATCATGTGTTGCTGCATTTAATTGTTTTTGTTTTAACCCAATGATTCAGACCAAAGGCAGGTAAAAATTAAGGCTGTAACGATTCACTCGCATATTCGAAGAATCGAACCGTAGCCCTTCATGAATTCAATTCGTTATTCGTGGTCATAAGAACCGAATATTCATGAATATTTACAATTTTTATAAGGGAGTGTGTTTTACTTGAACCCTATGTCCTTTTTCAAAACGAGATATGCAAGAATGCAATATGTACTAGCCTTGTAGTAGCCCAAGTCATGTTAGATTGCAAAGGGCGGACATGTTACTGTCAACTATAACTATTACATACAAAATTTAGGTTCATGAGATGACTGGTTATTGCTGAGACAAATTAACACTGTCAACATTAGCATTCAATATTGTGCAGCAATCATTTAACTACAATATTGTATTCATGAATAATTATTCGTATTCGTTACCTTATATTCGTGATACGTATCATATTCGCAACATAGTGTATTCATTACAGCCCTAGTAAAAATACATTTATTACTTTTGCTTCAGTTGTTGACACCGGTGCTATGGAAATGCACCCCCATGGACTTACTGTATTTGTAAATGTGGCCTAGCAAGGCAAAACATAAATATGCTGTCTCTTTTTACAAATTACACAACTAGTTCCAGTTTGGCTGTCATGTAAACACTATTGCACTATGCTGCATTTTTATTGTAACTGCAATACTAAAGAATCCTGATTATCGTGACGATAAGATTATCATACTATGATACATTATGTGTGTATGGAAACGGATATGGTGTACGATTGGTTAAGCATAAGTCTTTTTCCAAGGTCTGCTCTTTTGTTTAAAATACAGTGGAAGCTGTCAAATACACTGGCAGCTGTCCAATCCAGCAAGTTGTCAACACTGGCATAAAATCTCAGTCCTGCCATGGCTAGTACATTTATCATCATTTGAAAGCTCTGCAATCCAGCAACTGTCATTTCCGGATCTCAGCATGAAATGAGCCGCCCGAATATGTGTTTATACAGTCTAATCCGGCGTGTGGCATGGAGTCTGCCAGATGTGAATTGTCACCAATAATCCTGCGTTGGAACAACATGGTTGCCGACAAAGTTGATGTAATCTTAGTTCATTAGTTCAGTATGGGTATACTTGTACATGTAATTAGTGAGCTGACATGTTGACTTTGTCTTTTATTGTCAATGTGTGCAGTAATTGAGAGAACCATGTGATACAACACTGTATATGAGGGAGACAAAACTGGTTCAGTTCTAGTTGTAGGTAACCGTGTCAGCTTTACAATCCGGCACGCTGTCTAAACCAGATTATTTCTTCAGTCCCAACGACTGCCGGTTTAGACAGCTTCCACTGTACACAGTTGAATGGAGTGAGTTAGTTTAGTTTTACGCCTCACTCAGCAATATTCCAGCCATATGGCGGTGGTCTGTAAATAATCGAGTCTGAACCAGACAATCCAGTGATCAACAGAATGAGCATCGATCTACGCAGTTGGGATACGATGACATGTGTCAACCAAGTCAGCGAGTCTGACCATTTGATCCTGTTAGTCGCTTCTTTGGTGATGGGTTACTGAAGATCAATTCTAACCCGGATCTTCACGAGTCCAATTGAATGGAACCAAAACAAAAATGAATGGAATTCCAAAGGAAAACTTTTGATTGTTCTTGAATGTTCTTGTTCATTTTGTGTGTGATAATTAGTTTGTAATTAATTGTATAACAGCTGTGTTTATTTCCTTTCAGAATGCCCAGACATTCAGCTTCCCTAATGTAACTACTGACTTCAAACAGGTGAGCCATTTTGAAAGAATGGGTCATGCACTGCACCTTTCACTATTCAGAGCTCAGTGGCTGCTTATTTTCAAAATGACCCTAGACAAATGAGAAACAATGATAAACCGGGACAGTTTGTGTGTTTGGCACCCCAGTGTGCATATTATCATGTTTTTAACTATATTCCATGTCTGTTCATGTCTGTCACTCGTTCTCAAACAAATGATAACTGGAAGATTCAACGTTTAAACTATCCGATATTGTGTTTTTGCAGAAATGCGTGCAGACGATCACAGGTCGCCTGAAGGGGGCACTGTCGTCCAAGTGTCAGATTCTGTGCCTGCAAGCCCTTCGGATCTACAGTCGTGAGAAGGAAAGGATGGAGGTGTTGACATCGGACGACACCCTGGAACTCCTTGTCAAGCTGTCCGGGCTGCAGTACTACGCAGAGGAGGAAGGGGAGGGAGTCACTATCCAAGATGGAGACCAAGATGGTGAGGATCACATAGTTTATTTTTATGCTGCTTTTAGCAATATTCCAGCAATATCCCGCTTGGTGACACCAGAAATGGGATTCACACATTATACCCATGTGGAAAACTGAACCCAGTTTGTGATGATGTCAATTAGGGCTGTTATGTGAGTGAGTGAGTATGGTTTTACGCTGCTTTTAGCAATATTCCAGCAATATTAAATCGGGGGATACCAGAAATGGGCTTCACATATTTTATCCATGTGATAAATAAAACCCGGGTCTTCAGCGAGCCGAGCCGACGCTTTAACCATGCTCACTATTAGCCTACCACACCGCGCCAAGGCTGTTATGATTCAATCATGTATTTTGTGAATCTAATTATTCCTTCATGAATTCAGTTTATTATTCACGATCACTAAAATAATAAAATATTCATGGTACTTTTTTTTTAAAAAGGAGTGTTTTTACTTAAATTTAGGTATTATTTATCTGAGTGAGATGTGCAGAATATAATGTCTTTGAATATCAGGCAGGATAAGAGTCAACATGTTATATTTAATGTGACAGTAATGATGTAACTGGTCATTGTTGTGATAAACTAGCACTGTCAAACTGGTAAAAAACCAGTCAAAGAATATATTTGGTTATTATTTCTCGGAATATGATGAATACATAAACTGCTGTTGTGTTATTGTATTTGTTTCTCAATAATCATATTTATTAACCAATATTTGTGATATGCATCATTTTTGCCAACCACATGATCATAGTTGTCAAACAGTTAGGACATGTACGTTGTCAAACAGTTAGGACATGTACACTGTCAAACAGTTAAGACATGTACATTGTCAAACAGTTAAGACATGTACATTGTCAAACAGTTAAGACATGTACACCGTCAAACAGTTAAGACATGTACACCGTCAAACAGTTGAGACATGTACACTGTCAAACAGTTAGGACATGTACATTGTCAAACAGTTAGGATATGTACACTGTCAAACAGTTAAGACATGTATACGCGTCAAACAGTTAGGACATGTACATTGTCAAACAGTTAGGATATGTACACTGTAAAACAGTTAAGACATGTACGTTGTCAAACAGTTAAGACAGTTTGTCAAGACATGTACACCGTCAAACAGTTAAGACATGTATGTTGTCAAACAGTTAAGACATGTTGTCAAACAGTTAAGACATGTACACCGTCAAACAGTTAAGACATGTACACCGTCAAACAGTTGAGACATGTACACTGTCAAACAGTTGAGACATGTACACCGTCAAACAGTTGAGACATGTACACCGTCAAACAGTTAAGACATGTACACCGTCAAACAGTTAAGACATGTACACTGTCAAACAGTTAAGATATGTACACCGTCAAACAGTTGAGACATGTACATCGTCCAGGGCTACAGATAAGGGGCGTACAGGCGTAATGTACGCCTCAAAATCAATTAAGTACGACATAATATAAGATTTCAAGCGTATCATGTACGCACATAAATACCTTTGTACGTCTAACATTTAATTTCTGTGCGTATCGTGCAAATGGAAATTTATTTCGGATAAATACTTGTCAAGTTTCTTTTGCGAAACATGATTTGACACATGAGGAAACCCCGACAGTAGGAATCCCTTGCGTTGCCATGCAACGATATGCGTCACTATTTTTCGATTGGATAAATACTACACTGTTCCTATTTATATCCAGTCGGACCTGGCATTTCGCGCATCACACCGTCGCTCAGTTATTTCTCACGCGTCTTCAAATACAAATACATGGTTAGAAATAGTGATCGATGAATCGTCCAGACAAACCACATCACCAACTCGCTCACAAAAAAACATGTCAGTACTTCAAAATTCTCAGTACACCTCCACTTGCAATATGATGTGTAAGTACACTCACACCCCTAAAAGTTATCTGGAGCCCTGCCGTCAAACAGTTAAGACATGTACATTGTCAAACAGTTAAGACATACATCGTCACATCTTGTTGTGTTGAAGCAGGATATGATTTAAGACATCTGATTAAGTGAATCTTTGAAAATCAAACATTATGTTTGAGACATTACCAGGTCAGGATGTAACACTAGATTTCAAAGCATACATAAATTTCATTGCCCAGCTACTCGTAGTCAAGGGGATGGCAACGCAGGCTTATCGTTGATCTCACAGTCTATAGATTGGTGTTGTAGAAGTCATAGGTCGACTGACATATAACAATTTCACTAACAGGATCATCATAATTTAGTTGATTGGTTGACGCCGGGCTAATTATCCAATGAACATTGTCGTTAGTAGACATTGCCAACTTTGACAATGGATATCACGCTAAAAAACCCAACTCATTTGAACCCGTGAAGGTCCGAGTTAGAATGAACCTTCAGTAACCCATGCTTGTCGTAAGAGGCGACTATTGGGATCGGGTGGTCAGGCTCGCTGGCTTGGTTGACACATGTCATCGGTTCCCAAATTACGCAGATCGATGCTCATGAAGTTGATCACTGGATTGTCTGGTCCAGTGATAGACTCGACTATTTACAGACCGCCGCCATATAGCTGGAATATTGCTGAGTGTGGCGTAAAACTGAACTCATTAGTCACTCCCAACTTACTTGAACTCTGAGAGTTAAATGAAATCTGATGTTGAATGAAGAATCGAACCGAAACTTATAGAATCGAGGGTCCAATTGACTCCAATATCGAACATCGAATCGAATCAGGGTCTGGGTGAATTGTTGCAGCCCAAGTGAAGTTTGGAGATTATCGGTGTCTGGGCATTATTTTTCATTTTGAACTGTTCAAGTCATTTTGGAATTTTATGCTAAATTGGACACTTGGGTTGACACACAGATTGAGTATAAATGATGATAAATATAGACGTGAGTGAGGCTGGGGGTGAGTTTAAGACAACCTGGAATTCAAGTTCAACACTTCTAAATTAGACACAAGAAGTTTCGACTGTATGTAATTTCCAGATATTTCATCATGATAAGGAGGTCTTCACAATTGATACAAACCTTATGGTAGACTCGATTGCTGATTGGACTGCCTCCGTGGTGTAGTGGTTAGAGCGTTTCTTTCGCGTGGTCGCGGGTTCGATCCCCGACCGCGTCATACCAAAAGACGTTAAAATATGGTACTTGTTGGTCCCCTGCCTGGCGGTCGGCGCTAATGGGTACAATAAGGACTGGTCAGCTTGGAGTCAGTATAATGTGTCTGATTGGGGTATTCCTGCTTAACTGCGGTATAGTATCTCAGTGAGCTAGCGCTATAAAAACAGCATACGTCTGGGCTAGTACAAGCAGCCACACATACACGCATGCACGTCATCATCATATGAGCGAAATATTCTTAAGTGCGACGTTAAACCCCATTTCACCTCACCGATTGCTGATTGGTTGTTCACAGTGTCTGGCGAGTATGAAGTCATCTCATGGCATGATAGGATTTGTTTTTTCTTTGTTTAATGCCGCACTGAGCAATGGTCCATCTCACTCACTCCATCTATATCATGTATATGATAGCGGTATATAAATAAGCGAGTCTGATCTAGATGATTTACGCATATGGGATACGATGACATGTGTTAACCAAGTCAGTGGGCCTGATCACAGCATGATAGGAAACAAAGGGACCAATTCCCTTGCAACTCACTGCATTTGCTCAGTTTAAAATGTTTGTCATTGTTAAGTTAAATCATTGAAAACAATCTAATGTAACTTGTATTTTTACAGTGATGGTTGAAAGCCAGAAATGCCTGTGCAATCTCATCTTCAACAGTACAGTTGCTCAAAGATATTGCAGGTGAGTACACTCTCAGACCTGTGTTTTGATTGGTCACTGCTTCATTCTCTGCCCTTCTCTGTAGTCACATGATTGTCGCTATTATGATGATAACTATTATTATTGCTGGAATATTGCTGATGTGGCGTTAAGCAACAAATATCTTATCAATAAGCGTGTAGTGATATTGAATGTGACATCAAATGACAACCACTCAGTTTTACTTTACTTTACTTTACTCTGTCCTCCAGACCGAAGATCGGTATGAGCTTCGTAGCTTCACGTATCTGATGGAAGTGTTGAATCCAGCTGCTTGGCGCTACAAGAGAAAGAAGAAGAGTTTCAGAGCTTAAGGACCAGGATGTGGGCCTCTGTGGTGAAATCCTTAAAGATCCTGTTCAGCCTGCATTGGCGGCTGAGAAGAAACGACAGATGGGGTGAGTCCTGAATTTGTGGTGGGGTTGGCCCAGTGGTTGAGGAATTGACCCATGATGGAGTCCTGGGTTTGATTCCGCATGTGATTTTGATTCACAGTATGTGAAGACTGTAATAGGGTGTTGGATTGGGTGCATTCCCCGCTGTGTGGCTTGAAGTAACAACTTTGTAATATGCAACACTTTTGCAATGGTCAGAACACTTAAGTCATAATGAGTATTAACAAAACACAGCTGGATGTAGTTGAGTTAGGCGACCTTATGACTGTATTAAGAATAAAACAAAGTTGTTATTCATAAAACATGTCATGTATTCACAACCCGCTGACTTTCCCTGATTACTTGTACTAGTTAAGCAGCCTCTTTCGACCTCGTCAGATCACTCAGATGTGTGTCCCTCAGAATGATGTCCCTTTGTCTGTGTTGTCATCATGTGACTGACTGGAGTTTAGTTTCACGCCCGGCTTTTAGCAATATTAGAGCAATATCACGCAGTGGGGACACCAGAAATGGGCTTCACACATTGTGCCCATGTGGGGAATCGAACTCAGCCGATGGAATAGTGTGCGAGCGCAGCAGCTAAAACCACTAGGCTACCCCACTGCCCCTGTCATCATGTGAGAGAAATGACTGAAGAAACTTGATCTTACCAGAGAACAGTCTGAACTGTATTTCGCCTGAAAGTCCAGTTATAAACCCAGCGTCGGCTTTGTTTCTTCTTATTTAGCCACTAAGACACATATCCTGACATTAATGCTAGCATCTCTTCTTCACTTGATGAATCCATGTTTCTGAGTCATGCTTGAGAATCGTGCGAGATTTGAATTGTATGTGACTTGAAAAATACAGAAACAACAAAGTTGTTATGATCTTTATTGTTCCTTCAAGCTGTTTCTACAAGTGACACCTTGAGAATAAACCTTCACAGTAATGTGGCTGGAATATTGTTAAACCACGACTCACTTTCGTTGTTGGTTAAGTCTTGGTTCAATGGTTGGTACCCCTGTATGTTTGAAACTGATATTCTGGGGAGCTGGGATTTTTGTTTAACTGTACAATATCTTGAAGACACAGCCATTTGCAAATGGTTTGCAGTTGGGAAAGACAAAGGGGTTAAAGGGGAGGTAATTCTTCAATACCAATAAGTTTCCATTCTGACTGGATTTTGAATATTTTCCTTTTTGATGAATGGTATGTGAAGTCATAAGTTGTTACTGCTTTGGAATAAGTATTTTGCATTTTGTTTTGTGAGGAAGATTCTCGGTTGTTTTAAGTTTTATCAGAAACTGAGCTCACTTTACCCATTCATCACCACTTCTTCCGTAACCTCCAAGAAGACTCGGTCCCCTATCTCGATACTTGTTATGTGGGAAAATCACGACAAACCAATCAGAGCGGCGTAAATGGCTGTGGAAGCTTTGATAAAAAATAATCCAGATGCTTTAAATCGTTATGGCATTATGTCATTGTTTAAAAAATCATGAAAAAATATATATATATCGGTGTTATTGAAAGTAGAAACAACGTAGCTATAAGGATTTTGCTGCCTTTATGAAGTTTTAATAAGAATCATCACGATTGACGGTTAGAGATTCAAAAACTCTGACGTCGTTTGTTGACATAACTGCTCTCATGGGTCCAACTGAGTGTATTTCTGGCTCGATCTTATGGGGCTTGTTATGGAGATTATGCAATGTTTGTGTTCCGCATTAAACAGACATGAGAATTTCCCACGGATTTCGGGAATTTTTGTTTCATTTTTAATGTTTTTGAGATCGATGTAAATCTGCAATAAAAGACCCCCAAGACCCTCAGCTAAATTTTAAATTTTTTTGTGCTTTGACGTTCTCATGTCTGATTAAACAGATAAAGCAAGGATTAATCTGTTTGGAGTCAGTATACTGTATGTGAGAAGGGTTTCTGCTCACTGCTAAATGGTAGGCTAATTGTCCAGCGATATAAAATCGACACTAGTTCAGTCTAGTTCAAGCACACATGTACACGGTCCGTGAAGATAATGGTTAGAATTGATTTTCAGTAACCCATGCTTATCATAAGAGGAGACTAACGGGATCAGGTGGTCAGGCTTGCTGACTTGGTTGACACATGTCAGAGTATCCCAATTGTGTAGATTGATGCTCATGCTGTTGATCACTGGATTTTCTGGTCCAGACTCGATTATTTACAGACTGCCACCATATAGCTGGAACATTGCTGAGTGCGGCGTTAAGCAACAAACCAACCAACCACACATCAATAAACATGTGTAGTGATATTGAATGTGACATCAAATGACAAGCCACTCAGTTTTACTTTACTTTTACTTTACTCTGTCCTCCAGACCGAAGATCCGGTATGAGCTTCATGGCTTCACGTATCTGATGGAGGTGCTGGATCTCACGCTGCGCGCTGCAGAGGAGAAGAGGACAGGGCTTGGCGACCAGGATGTCGACCTCTGTAGTGAAATCCTCAAGATCCTCTTCAACCTCACCGTGGCGGTTGAGAAGAAATCGGCAGATGAGGTGAGTCTAGATTTGTGGTGGGTTGGCCCAGTGGTTGATGAACTGACTCATGATGGAGTCCTGAGTTTGATTCCACATGTGATTTGATTCACAACGTGTGAAGACTATGTCGGTGTTCGTTAAGGTTCATTCCCGCGGTGTGACTTGAAGTAACAACTTGTAATATGCAACACATTTGAAATGTCAGAACACCCAAATCATAATGATATTAACTCGCTTACAACTGGATGCAGTTGAGTTGTATAACCTATGACTTGTATTAAGAATAAAACAAAGTTGTTATCCACAAAACGTGTGATGTATTCACAACCTATGACTTTCCCTGATTACTTGTACTAGTCGCAGCCTCTCGACCTGTCAGATCACTCAGATGTGTGTCCCTCAGAATGACGTCCCTTTGTCTGTGTTGTCATCATGTGACTGACTCAGTTTAGTTTTACGCCGCTTTTAGCAATATTCCAGCAATATCACGGCGGGGGACACCAGAAAAGGGCTTCACACATAGTGCCCATGTGGGGATTCGAACCCAGGTCGTCGGCGTGACGAGCCAGTGCTTTAACCACTAGGCTACCCCACCACCCCTGTCATCATGTGAGAGACATGACTGAAGAAACTTGATCTTACAAGAGAGAAGTGTGAACTGTATTTCGCCTGAAAGTCCAGTTATAAACCTAGCGTCGGCTTTGTTTCTTCTTATTTAGCGGGGGCGGTGGGGTAGCCTAATAGTTAAAGCGTTGGCTCGTCACGCCGAAGGCCCGGGTTCGAATCCCTACATGGGTAAAATGTCTGAAGCCCATTTCTGGTGTCCCCCGCCGTGATGTTGCTGGAATATTGCTAAAAGCGGCGTAAAACCAAACTCAGTCAGTCAGTCTTATTTAGCGACTGGGACACACATCCTGACATTAATGCTAGCATCTCTTCTTCACTTGATGAATCCATGTTTCTGAGGCATGCTTGAGAATCTTGCGAGATTTGAATTGTATGTGACTTGAAAAATACAGAAAAAACAAAGTTGTTATGATCTTTATTGTTCCTTCAAGCTGTTTCTACAAGTGACACCTTGAGAATAAACATTCACAGTATTGTGGCTGGAATATTGTTAAACCACGACTCACTCGTTGTTAGTTAAGTCTTGGTTCAATGGTTGGTACCGGTATGTTTGAAACTGGTAATATTTTGGGGGCTGGGATTTATGTTTAACTGTACAATATCTTGAAGACACAGCCATTTGCGAATGCTGCAGTTGGGAAGACAAGGGGTTAAGGGGAGGTAATTCTTCAATACCAATAAGTTTCTATTCTGACTGGATTTTTGAATATTTTCCTTTTGATGAATGGTATGTGAAGTCATAAGTTGTTACGGCTTTGGAATAAGTATTTTGCATATGTTTTGTGAGGAAAGATTCTCTGATTTGTTTAAGTTTTATCAGAAAACTGAGCACACTTTACCCTTGCCAACTAGGATACAGATCTGCAGCGATCTTTGGTCCAATTCATTGAGATTTTTAGATCAGGTTGCTGTTTTAGGAAAATTTATTATGGATGGATATGATGTACAGAAATGAAACAATATCCTTATTACGTAGATATGTTAGATTCTCTGATAAAGAGTCCAATTAACTTAGTTATGATGATAAAAATTGCATCAGTCCTAATATGTGAAATATGTAACGCTGCACACAACTGTGGACTGCCTCTTTAGTCAAATGGATAGATCAGGGCTAGTTTGGTGGATCAGTCCACGAACACATCATACCTAAAGACATTAAAGATGGTACTTGTTGTTACCCTGCCTGGGGCCATTGAGGTGATATAAAGAACAGCATATTATAAGTTAATCACTGGTCTTGAGGGGGACATGGGCTGATGTACCCTCGATGTTTGTTTATGTTCCCTGAGCCCTGGCGAGGGTAACAAAAAGAAACATCGAGGGTACATCAACCCATGAACCCCGAGGGATCAGTGAACAACGTATTTATCTTACCGAACACCTCAATGGTAATTTTGAACTGTTTGAAGCACGGGTTTCGATCATAGTATGGAGTACCAGACGACAAGACAAGAAAAACAAATTTAGAGTTATCTCCTTTCCATCGATTTGCATTCGCAAAACATCTGTCATTTCCGTACATCATTTGTGATTCAATGTCGTTTGAGATAAAGAATTACTACTATGAAGTACCAAATGAGTTCGACATTCCCAGCAGGGTACATAGAAAATAATAGAAGAGCGTTCAGCCAATCAGAAAACGACATTTATGTGTGACTTTGTGAGGCAAGATAAAACAGAATATTGTGTCTGAACGGGGTATCCATGTGAAACTGCATCATGCTGTCGTAAAGATCTTGCATTTATCTGAACTCTCTCTCTGTTTACGATTTACCACTCCTGTCTTAGAAATTAGAAATGCTGTATTGTAGGGTTGTGATGAGCTTGTATGTACTTCCTGGGTACTTGGGTACCTGACAATACACGGGTACTCCTTGCAGGTCTCATGAGTTGGTGGAATTGTCTCATTGGGAAATGTTTTCAGCTGCACCTATAACTACGTCTGATCATGAATACATCAAAGCTTTATCTTAACTCAAGGGGCAGGTGGGGTAGCCTTAGTGGTTAAAGCTTCTGCTCGTCACGCTGAAGACCTGGGTTCGATTCCCCACATGGGTACAATGTGTGAAGCCCATTTCTGGTATTCCCTGCTGTGATATTGCTGGAATATTGATAAAAGCGGCGTAAAACCCAACTCACTCACTCAATCACTCACTCTGAACTCACTCTGAACTCACTCTGAACTCAAACATCACGAAACCCAAAGTAATGCATACATTGTTAGAAAGAAAATGTAAGTCACTCATAGTGTAATCTAGGAGATTTGTCATTGAACGATACATTACGAGGTCTTAGGATGACATCTTTACCTTGTCAGGATGCCCCTGATCCACTACTTAAGATCCTGACCCCAGTACCAGAGATACCTATCCCAGCTCAGCTGTACTGGATAGGCAACAGTCCTATCACTCACATAGTATCGTTACACCTCTACACACTAGACTAACACTGTCTGTCCTTGCATGTTGCAGGAGGAAGAGGCCCACTTCATGAGGCTGGTGAGCGTTCTACGGGATCTGCTCATGTGCACAACCATATCTAAAGACAAGCAGGAGGAACTACACAGGTGAGCATGACTCTGTGATATTTTACCGTGATTTTCTCCAGTCATCTTCAGAAAGTGTAGTGAATGCTTGTGTAGCAGCCGTATAATTGCCGTCTCTTGATGAGATTCATACAATGGATGGGTGGTGGGGTTAAAGCTTTCACTCATCACGCTGAAGACCCGGGTTCGATTCCCCACATGGGTACAATGTGTGAAGCCCATTATTGGTGTCCCCGCGTGATATTGCTGGAATATTGCTAAAAGTGGCATAAAACTCACTCATTCAAACTATGGACCTTCTGACCCAAGGCTTTGATGCTCTGTTCAAGTGACCAAAGGCATTAATCCTGTGAAACTAACAAGGCACTTAATGCAATCTGCTGGATGACTCCATGCCCTGCTACACTGACAGGGTAAGGGTGTCTTCTTTGGGATGACTCAAAGCCCTTGTACATGATGAATGTAATGGCACTCATTGAAATTGTGAGTCCCATCTCCAAGAGCTGAGTTTTGGGTCCAGTAGTGGCTCAAGTGCTGTATCACTGAAAGGACTTGCAGTTTGAGTTAATCCAAGATTCACAGCTGCGAGTATTTCTCTAAGGTGATATAACATCAGGGTAATTTTAAGGTTGCATTAGGAAATTCAAACACATGCAATGAATGATGGTAAAATTTTGATATTTTCAGCCACACCGTCAACCTCCTCATCAACATCCCTGTAGACTTCTACGAGGAGTTGTTGACCCCGCTCAATGAGAGTGATGTTCGTGGTGTCGAGAACAAAGACGTCGAATATGATGGCAAAAACATGGAGGCTATCATTGTCCTCATTGAATTTCTCAGTAAAAGGCTGGATAGGGTGAGCATACACTTGAGTATCTTATTGCTGTTGTAAATTTGGTAATGGTACTGAATCTGTATAAGTTGATAAACTTTAATCTTTGTCATCAGTTATAATTATGATCTGATAACATGTATGGTTTTTGTGAAACGTTTTTAGGAACTGCCTAACATTTAAAAGTCTTCATGTTTTACTTAGACTTGTTAAACATTATGTTTCCGAAGTCACAAAAGCCTGCCTCAACTTGACCTTCTTTTGGTTCAGAGTTGTGTCCCTTTGTTAGGATCAGCTGATGATAGGTTAAAATCCAAGATTTGGGCCAGTTACAAATTATGATTCTTGATCTTTCAGCACCATACCTGTGCTTATTAAATTTGATTGTTAAATTTCAAAATCATTTGAAATTAAATGTTTTTGCAGCTGAAATCCACTATATCTCTGTCCTGTTTAAAATATATTATCAATTCATTGCTGATTTTCAACGCTCAATGGGGAAAATATGCTAACAGACAAAAGTAACTGTGCTTCATATAAAATATCATAAAATATTTATTCCAAAACATTTTTGAAAAACTATCGCAGAAGAATATGACCAAACACACTTTTGTCATTGTCTGAATGAAATGCTCATGTTGCACATACATTTAGTGTGACGTTGCAAGTTTCGTGTTTTGCTTGTTAAACTCAATTGTGATTTTGTCACACGTGTTTTTCAGCCCAAAAGAGCATATATTGTTTGTGTAGACTTCTGGTGATAAGAAAAACACATTATTAGTTCTGTTAACACTGCAAAACATTATGCCCCGTCTGTCTGAAAATGAACGTCTACGTGTCGTCAGTATGCTGCAGACTGGAATGCCCAAGAATGAAATTGCTAGACATTTTAATTTTCATCGGAACACCATATCGTCTCTTTAGAGATGTTATCAGCAAAATGGCAACACTCGCGACTTACGTCGATCCGGTTGTCCAAGCATGATGTCACGTCGGCAGGATAACCATATCCGCCATGTTCATCTAAGGAATCGGTTTCAACCTGCAACTTTGACAGCTCGAACGATTCCTGGTTTGAGATCCATTAGTGGGAGGACTGTAAGAAACCGTCTAAGGGAGCACAACATTCGACCCCGACGCATAATACGTCCCGTTTTGCTCCACGTCACCGTCAAGCACTTCTAGCATGGTGCAGACAACCTCTAAGGTTCACACGAGACTGGAACTGTGTCCTGTTTACGGATGAGTCTTGATTTCACCTTGACAGTTCAGATGGGCGTGCTAGGGTTTACAGACGTGATGGGGAACGTTACGCTGACGTGTGCATCACCCAACGTCGTTCATTTGGAGGTGGGAGTGTAATGTTGTGGGGAAGCATCTCACACCGTGGACGAACGGAAGTCATCATTGTCAATGGCAATCTGAGAGGTTTACGTTGCCGAAACAAAATTATTGAACGTCACGTTGTGCCCTTCGTGCAAAACCATGGGCCCGTTACCTTTAAGCATGACAATGCCCGTCAGCACGTTGCACGTGTCGTCACAGACCATTTAAGGCAACAGAACATTGATGTTCTGCCATGGCCAGCAGTTTTGCCAGACCTTTCGCACATAGAACATGTCTGGGATGAAACGGAGAGACGTCTACGTCAACAACCAAACCAGCTGTTGATGCTTGATGAATTGGGTCAATCTTTGGTGACCATTTGGAACAATATTCCTCAAGCGTTTTTCAACCATCTTGTGTCTTCCATGCGTCGCCGTTGTGTGGCTTGCTTCGATGCTAATGGGGGTCACACATGTTACTGACTTTGTGAATTGAGTTCTGATACCACACCTCTGCAGACGTATGCCACGCCATGTTACTGTGCTTAAGTTTCATTCATGAAATTTCCCTAATTAAACATTGATTTAACTGTTTACTTAAGTTTATGTTGTTATTATAATTATTAACAAAATTATAGAACATTATATAAAGCACAGTTACTTTTTTCTGCTAGTATAGTTATTTGCTTCAGATTAATCAGATGAGGTTTGGGGAGATGTTTGTTATGTTTTCCATTGCTGACTGCAGCCCTCCAAGAGTCTTAAGGAGAGCCTGACCCCGATCCTCCACTGTCTGTGTGAAGCCTGCAGACACAACCGCTCAATAAGAAAGTTCTGCAGGACAAAGGTAAGTCAGAATATCACTCAGTTTATCTGGAACTGGTGCCAACTGTTTGGGAATGTCAAGTGATATTTCATACATAATCTTTACCAAAATTAAGGTACACAATATGGAATGATGTTTTGTTCAGGTAAAGATACATACTATTCAAAAGAAGGTAACAAACTAGAGCTGTTTTCACATGCTCAAGGCGCATTACCCCTGATAACCAAAGCTGTATTTGAAGTGCTAGAGGGTTAACACTCATATGACTTATCCCACAGGGTACCCATTCACTGTTGGGGGAACAGAGGCAATTTATGAACAAACTCAGGGTGAGACTGCATGTGTTACGTATGCTGTCACTGTAGTTGATCTGTCATGTAAAAGAGCGCCAGGTGATATATAATAACTTCCTTGATAATCTCCAGGGTATACGCTCCGTTAAATCTCCACTATACCCTAGATGCATCTACGCCTTGGATTGACAATTTTATTACCTCCCTTGGCTGGCTTTTTATCCAATCTTGTTCTACGCTGGGAAGATGAGCGTACCAAGGCTTTTTATTATAACTCACTTTCACTTTTTTTTTCTAACCGATTAAACTTGAGAAGACAATTGTTGCTGAGATAGGAGCTCTTGCATTTAGTTTTTGAAGGTTTCAGACCTGTCATTTTGTCTGTATGGATTTTCACCTAAATCTGAGTCGCACAGCAAGCAAACCTTTGCTATCTTGTTGACACAGGCAAGCTCGGTTGTAACAGCTTATCTGACTGGCTACTGTGAGAATGTGGATCGATCAAAGGGAGGTAATAAAATTATCGGGCCGAGCTGTAGATGCATCCAGGGTACTCGTGGAGATATAGTGGAACGTGTACCGTTATCGAAGATGATGAAATTATAGAATGTTCTGTTACTTTTTTCAGCAGTATATTATTAATGAAATGGATTAAGTTATAGCCAGAAATACACAGCATTGTTGAGATGACAGATTACTGACATGTATTTTGCACCTTTTTAACAAAGATGTGCATAATATACACTAAAATATGCTAACCTGTGAAATTAAAAGAAAAGATAAATAGCCGAGAAATGAAATTCTACAGTTGTGATTGCAGTGGTGTTGTGTGGGTTCCAGCAGGTGGAGATAAGGCTTATCATGGCCACAGGGCTGTGAACAGGTGTGAGTGTCATGTCCTAATTAGTAGTGGTTCTTAAATGCCTTTCACATGTTCACTCAGTATCAAAGAGATAGTGTGAGTTTTGGTATATTCTAGATGTCTAAGATGGTGAATTGATTAGTTTTGCAAAAATGTTTTGGACGATTTTACATTAACATGCTAAGCCTGGCACAACCATTACAATATTGTCTTGTCCTGGCCAGATTATATGTCATCTTATAGCTGCCACAACAATTGCTGAATTCAGTGTAAACAAACAAACAAACAAACAAACAAACAAACATACAAACAAACCTGACTCATGAACATGTTCAAATCTTATGTAAAACTTAAAAGTCAAGGAGTCCTTGTTTCCAGCTTGTGACAGGTGTATGTGTGTTCAGATGCAGTGTCTACATTTCCAATTCCAGATAGCATGTATGCTTGTGTTCAGATATTGCCCCTTAATTTCCAACACCAAATACCCATAAAGATCTGGGTTAGAATTGATCTTCAGTAACCCTTACTTGTCGTAGGAGGTGACTGACGGGATCTAGTGGTCAGCAAGCTCACCTGGTTGACACATGTCATCGTATCCCAATTGCATAGACCGATGCTCATGCTGTTGATCACTGGATTGTTCGGTCCAGACTCAATTATTTATAGACCACCGCCATATAGCTGGGATATTGCTGAGTGTGGTGTAAAACTAAACTCACTCACTCACTCCAACACCAGATAACATGTATACTTGTGTTCAGGTCTTGTTACTTAATTTCCATCCCATATAATGTGTATGTTTGTGTTAAGATCTTGCCCCTTAATTTCCATCCCATATAATGTGTATGTTTGTGTTCAGATCTTGCCCCTTAATTTCCAACCCACATAATGTGTATGTTTGTGTTCAGATCTTATGTCTTAATTTCCAACCCAGATAATGTGTATGTTTGTGTTCAGATCTTGCCCCTTAATTTCCAACCCATATAATGTGTATGTTTGTGTTCAGATGTTGTGTCTTAATTTCCATCCCATATAATGTGTATGTTTGTGTTCAGATATTGCCCCTAATTTCCAACCCATATAATGTGTATGTTTGTGTTCAGATATTGCTCCTTAATTCCCAACCCATATAATGTGTATGTTTGTGTTCAGATATTGCCCCTAATTTCCAACCCATATAATGTGTATGTTTGTGTTCAGATCTTGTGTCTTAATTTCCAACCCAGATAATGTATATGTTTGTGTTCAGATCTTGCCCCTTAATTTCCAACCCATATAATGTGTATGTTTGTGTTCAGATCTTGCCCTTTAATTTCCATCCCATATAATGTGTATGTTTGTGTTCAGATCTTGCCCTTAATTTCCAACCCATAATGTGTGTGTTTGTGTTCAGATGTTTGTGTTCAGATCTTGTATGTTTGTGTTCAGATAATTTCTTAATTTCCAACCCATATAATGTGTATGTTTGTGTTCAGATCTTGCCCTTTAATTTCCAACCCATATAATGTGTATGTTCGTGTTCAGATATTGCCTCTTAATTTCCAACCCATATAATGTGTATGTTTGTGTTCAGGTCTCAGATATTGCCTGTTTGTGTTCTAATCTTCCAATTTCCAACCCATATAATGTGTATGTTCGTGTTCAGATATTGCCTCTTAATTTCCAACCCATATAATGTGTATGTTTGTGTTCAGATATTGCCTCTTAATTTCCAACACCAGATGATGTATATGCTTGTGTTCAGGTCTCGCCCCTTAATTTCCAACACCAGATAACATGTGTATGCTTGTGTTCAGATCTTGCCCCTAATTTCCAACACCAGATAATGTGTATGTTTGTGTTCAGATTCTGCCTCCACTGCGGGAGGAGGTGAAGAGGCTGCCCGAGGAGGGAGACTCCCTAAGGAACAGGTGAGATCCAGAACCACTATCGAAAACATACAAGTGTTTGCACCCAAACTCGGCTCTGAATTTTCAGTAGATTATATAAGCTCACCTGACAAAGTTTGAGCCAGAGACTTTGGACATTCAATGTTGATGTTAAAGTTGTCCTGAAAGAACGAATGCATAAAACTATTGTTTATGAATTATTTAATGTTGTTTCTTCCAGATTGTGTAAACAGTTGACCTCTCCCGTCACAGAAGTTAAAGATTTAGTTGCTCACTTCATGTTTGTGTTGTGTAAAGAGAATGGTAGGTGGAAATGTTCCAAATGTTCCATGCATTCAATATTCACCTGATTTTCATGATCTCAGCTCTAGTATATCATGTATATTGGCCAATTACGCAGATCGATGCTCATGCTGTTGATCACTGGATTGTCTGGTCCAGACTCTATTATTTACAGACCGCTGCCATATGACTGGAAATTGGAATATTTGGAATATTGCTGAGTGTGGCGTAAAACTAAACTCAATCACTCACTCATGTATATTGTAAATTTATTTTGCAACTTGTTTTAACCTCCAACCAGCAACTTGTTTTAACATAATATGTTTTTTTTTTTTTTCAAGATAATATATCTTGTTTGAAAAGAGACTCACTCAAGTGGGTATTGATGTTAACAATCTATAACTGCATGACTGACTTTACATTACGCCAAATAATTCCATTGATCACACGTTTGTATGTTTGGACTTGATAACTTACAGGTGGCATTAACATACCTTAACTTTTGGTGACTTTGTTTATCGTGGAAAATGTGTTTTGAATATTTTCTACCCATTGAGGTTCCAAGTAAAACATGTTAAAATCTTCAAAAGTAAAATGTAGTGAGCTGGACCTTTGCACTAGATACTACACATTTACAAAATGTACTCATATATGAGATTTGTATTGCCAGACAGTTTGGTGAAAGTTCATCTTCATCTTGATAATGCAAGCCCAGTATGTTGATTCCAAGCTGCGGCAGTGGGGTAGCTTAATGATTGAAGCGTCCACTTGTCACACTGAAGACCGGGTTCGATTCCCAAATGGGTACATTGTGTGAAGCCCATTTCTGGTGTCCCCTGTCATGATATTGCTGGAATGTTGCTAAAAGTGGCTTAAAACCATACTCACTCACTCATTCGTTGTTGAGGGCTCATCACGCCAAATTCCCAGGTTTGATTCCCCACATGGGTACAATGTGTGATATTACCGTGATATTACTGGAATACTGTTATAGGCGGCATAAAACCAAACTCACTCACTCATCCATTATTGGGGGCTCGTCATGCCAAATTCCCAGGTTTGATACCCCACATGGGTACAATGTGTGATATTACCGTGATATTACTGGAATACTGTATAAAACCAAACTCACTCACTCACTCATCATTATTGTTATCTTAATATTGCATCAGCATCAGTGACCATACACGTGTCCAGGGCTCAGTACAGCATGATAACATTGAGTTCATCTGTTGCTTCAGTGAATCGTATGGTGAAGTACACGGGTTACGGCAACTGCGCTGGGTTGCTGGCACAGTTCGGTTTGCTCAAGCTGGAACAGGGGAACACCAAGGGAGACTACTCTAGCGACTCTGAGGACTCAGACACGGAGGAATACTCAGAATTGAAAGACCAGTAAGAATATGTGTTGTATTGTCAAGGAACTTAATAACGTAAATGGTCGTAGAGTATTAAGCTTATGTCCAGTGTCAGAAAAGTCAAGTTACAACCTTGAACTTATAAGAAAAGATAAAACGATAGTGATACCAATTTCTAGTTTATTGCATGGAGCAACGTTTCAGTTCAGCTCCTTATCAAACTGGAGGTGAAGCTTGATATCAGTGTAAGAATCTACCTCAAAATGCTTCTGCGTGCAATAAATCAGAAGTTGTCATCTGTAAAGATATCTTTTTTCACTTGTAGAATATTAATCAAACAGTTACCTTTAGCATGTCTAGAGCTCTGCTACTTTCCTACTGACTTATTATTTGGGGGCAAATTCTTCTGGTCTTCAGTAGATTGAGTTAGCCTAATGGTTAAGGTTAGCCTAATGGTTAAGGTGCTTGCTTATCTCACTGAAGACATTGGCTGTGATGTCAACATTGATACACTCAGTGAAGAAGATTTCTTGTGTCCCCTGCCTTTATATTGCTTAAAAGTGAACTATAACTGAAACTCGCTCACTGTTCCCTCAGAATAAACCTTGTGACCGGGCGTTGGGAGGAGTCAAAACCTGACCCGATGGAGGGCATGTCTGAAGAGCAGAAAGAGCATGAAGCCATGAAGCTGGTGGATGCCATGGACAAGTTACACAGGTGAGTCCAATGTAGACAGAGCATGGACAAGTTACATAGGTGAGTCTAATGTAGACAGAGCATGGACAAGTTACACAGGTGAGTCTTGCACCTTGACACCTTCATTCAATTACTGTTTTCTTCTTGTTCAGGCAAGGGTTGATCCAGCCCAGTCGAATCGGCCCTGACGGTGAGTCTAATGTAGACAGAGCATGCCTCGAACCCACCTTGTGTTTTCTTCTTGTTCAGGCAAGGGTTGATCCAGCCCAGTACCCGTACCCGTGTCCCACATTCTGGAGTTGGCTGAATCTGGAGGAGCCACTGCCGCCAAAGAAACAGACTCTGACTGATTCGGCCCGGAGATGTAGTTGTTTCTGACTGACCAGATCAGTGACTGACACCTTAGTTCATTAACTGGAAGCATCTTACAAAGTGTTTAAGTGATTAAAAAATATTTTCAAAATGGAAGTGATGATATTTCCAGTGACAAAATGTTACAAGTATTTTTGTTGTTGCAGCTTATAGGATAGATGCAGAATTTCTTATTCCTTTGGTGATTTTCGCTCTTGAAAGTAATCAAGTTATATACCTAAGCCTCGAAATCTGGTAGACGTTACGAGAAAATTCGGTGAGAAAATTGCAGATAAGTGCAGGCACAGATTTCTTAATTTTTGCACTGTTGTAGTTGGCAGTCTATTGTAAAATATGTCTACTTGTATGGAAGATTCGATATATAAAGAAATGTTGACATCTTATGGAAGAACAAGCCAAATATTTCCTTTATGCTTATATTTGTGTAACTTTTTCTTGTAGTTCTGTCTTGGATTGTCAGACAGGATGGATGTTTTTCGGCGCCATTTCCAAAATTTATACTCCCCCTTCCCCCTTTAGCATTTATATGCACTTAGAGTTAGAAAAAAGCGTACTTGTTAATGTTGCATATCGTTTTCAAAACATCTGTTTGCAACTTGTTACATTTTACTGAATAACTAAAGGTTCGATCTGAAGAAATATGATTCGTCTTTTCTGAAAATAGTTTGTTTTTTTAAACTTAAATTATTGGCGGAATATTTTCAGAATATATATTTACCAGAACAAAGTGCTATAGAAAAGTTATGTCCCAGTGATTCGGTTTTTAAAACATTTGAAGAACACTCATTGACAATGTCATCTTTCATCCTACCATTCAAGAAGAAACCACACAATAGGTGTGTCGTGTTTGTAATCTCAATATTCATCTCAGAAAGGTAAACTGTTCTATCATTGATTCAGTGGTTTAGAAAATAGACATGAACAACTTGCCTTCAAAAATGAATGGTTATATTACGAAGCAAGAAAACTATTTGTAATGGTGAAAAAAAAAATGTTTGTTTCTTGTGTTTGCTTGTCAATGTGCCAATAGGCGGAGGCAAAATCATATCAGACAATACTGTCTTGGTTGTTTAGAGGTGAAATTGAAATATTAGGATGCTAAGAAAGAATTTCTAAAAGTATCAAGGGTGGTATATATAATGTTTTATGCATCCTTGAAACACGTAGGCAATTTGTATAAAACCTAACAGATGACACAATCTGCATGTTTCATAAAATGAGGGTAAACTGAAAACTGATATGAAACAGTTTGATCAGAGGTTAAGTTGTGCTGTGTCACCTGACCTTCATTGTTGAAATATTTCCAGCTCTCTGCTTCTTTTTTATTGTTAAAAGCATATATTCTCCTGCTTGGAAATCTATAAAATTTGTTTTCTTCATAGCAGGGTGTAGGGGACATATTCTCATGCTCAGAAATATATATCCCTCTCTAGTGGGATAGGGGGTGGTGGGGAAGCGAAGTGGTTAAAGCGTTCACTCCTCACGCCAAAGACCCGGGTTCAATTCCCCACATGAATACAATGTATGAAGCCCATTTCTGGCCCCGATTTCTCGAAACAAACTTAAGTTTTTACTCAAATTTCAAACTGAGTTTGACAATTTGAAACAGCTGAATTTTTAACAAGACTGCATTTTTTAAATAAAAAAATCCCAAACAACTTAAGAAATCTATCCACCAAACTCAAATTGTCTACTAAGTTTGAGTTTAATATTGATTTCAGTATATTCTGGGAAATGCATTTTCCTGCGTTTTCTCAAATTTGAGTAAAAACTCTGACTTAAGTCAGAACTCAGACTTAAGTTTCTTTCGAGAAATCGGGGCCTGGTGTCCCCGCCATGATATTGCTGGAATATTGCTTAAAGCAGTGTTAAACTAAACTCACTCTGGTGGGATACATCATATTATAAAGATCACGTGAACCATTCAGATCTCAACATTCTGAGATGGAGGTAAGATAACAGACTTAGTAAGTCTCTAGGATCACTGCATCAAGTCCAGTGTAGTCTGTAGAAGTTCAGTTGAAAACTGTTGTGGCAGATTGTATACTGTACAGATACATATTTCAGATGCTGTACATGCTGTAAGAAGGCTACGTGCAATATATCATATCAACATATATATGGGACCATTTATTGTTATCATTTATTAAGCTTTTGATCAAATTCAAGCCTCGTGCTATGTGTTGAAATATTCCTCATGAGCCAATAAGCAGGGAAACTATTGAAAGAAGTTTTCGCAAGTTAGTAAAATTTTCTAGTCAAAGCTTTTCACCTGATGTTAAAATGTTTGGTATTTTGTTTTCGTATTATTGCTGAATCATCTCATTTGGACTTTAATGACATTGTTATTAACATTGGAGAACTGATTATGTACTTGTGGACGTATTCATCTTCAGACCTGTGTTGGTTAAACATTTGGAGTCAAAGATCTCAAGGAATAGTTCAGTCAAACTGAAATGCATAAGAATTTGTGATCAGCATTTTCGTTTTAAAGTTCAAAACTCATCGCTTTATTCCACACTTTTTTGTTCCTGCCACAAACTTTTAGAAAAAATCAGAATTGAAAGTGTCAAAATTTTCTTTATAAATTTGATAGTTTTGTTTTTCTTTGTACTTCATTTCAGCCTTGTTGCATTTATGAGGGCTGGTAAACAAGTATTCCTAGCCCTGATGCTGTATATTATCAGTTTGTGCTGTAGCAGTTAGTGGTATGTGCACTGCAGTGTTCTGTTATTCTAGCTACTGTTGTGTATTGTTAGTACATGTTGAGTGATTAGAGTAGATTGTTGGACTTGTGGCTCTCCATGATAATCTTTGACTGTTTCTGTCAATGAATGGGGAAGTACTGGGAAATTGTTATTTTCTAGCAGAGGGAACGTAGCCTTTCTGTCTATGAACACTGGAAGGTATCCTGTTTTCGAGGACGTGTGTATAGGTCTTATCACATGTGTTTGATGGGTTCGGAATTCTGTATGAAACAAATAATGAAGCTTGATTAAAATTAAAGACGTGTATTGGTTTTTATCATTTATTGTGAAAATAGCAATGCATGTTAATGTCATATCATAACCTGCAGCATGCACCAGGCAAGTTTTCTCAGCTTCCTGGGAAGTATGGAACTCAAACTGCCTGTTCGGTGCTAGAAGGGTTTTTATTTGGGATGTTTATTATTGTGTCCAGGACAGGTTAATGCTAGTTTGTACTGATTGTGGTCCTGTGGTTTTCGCTTGCATTCATCTTCTGGTAGTTTAAAACGGAAAATTTGAACAGCCCGACCTACAGTGAATATCAGAATTTGTAAATGTGGCTCCACAAAGGAGAAAAAAACTAGATCAACCTCTGAAGTTCCAGTACTACGTTTATATAAAATCCTGGATCCACCTCTGAAGTTCCTGTACTACTTTTGTATAAAATCCTGGATCCACCTCTGTAGTTCCAGTACTACTTTTATATAAAATCCTGGATCCACCTCTGATGTTCCTGTACTACTTTTGTATAAAATCCTGGATCCACTTCTGAAGTTCCAGTACTACTTTTATATATAATCCTGGATCCATCTCTGTATTTTTAGTATTACTTTTGTATAAAATCCTGGATCCACCTCTGTAGTTCCGGTATTACTTTTGTATAAAATCCTGGACCCACCTTTGAAGTTCTAGTACTACTTCTTATATAATTAACCTTTATCATTTCAAGGGACTTAAATTACATGTGAATAAGTCTAAGAGAATTTTATACTCTGATACCTTTAACATCAAATATGGTGGTAGATTATAATGATTCTCTGCATTAAGGCCATGTTGTCTCTGCTAGTACTTGTCGGTGCTCATTGTGAAACGCCTGTGTCTGACGGAGCCAGAGTTTCAGTTGCGACCATTTCCAGTGTTAGTCACACGAGGAACATTATACATGTATAAGTGGATTATTGTCTGACAAAATAATCCATGAAATTCCAAGAATTATCCGTCATGAAGTTCCTGAAAAACACATTTGTCAAAACTAGTTCAATTGTGCACATTAAGAATGTGTACCTCAAGTGTAATATTTGAGATGATTTGAGCAGATCCTACCGAGAATTTTGCCAAATATGTTTTTCTTTTTTCACAGGATACCACTGTTTGATACAATAATCACAGGCTAATGGCTGTGAGCTGTGATAATCACAGGCTAATAGCTATTGGCAGTCATAGGCACAGACTAGATTTGTAATGGCTGTTACCTGTGATCATCACAGACTAATGCCTGTGAACTGTTACTATCACAGGCTAATGGCTGTTAGCTGTGACTATCACAGACCAATGACTGAGCTATGATAGTCACAGGCTAATGGCTGTGAACTGTGATAGTCACAGGCTAATGGTACTGAGCTATGATAGTCACAGGCTAATGGCTTTGAGCTATGAAAGTCACAGGCTAATGGCTGTGAACTGTGATAACCACAGGCTAATGGCTGTGAGCTATGAAAGTCACAGGCTAATGGCTGTGAACTGTGATAGTCACAGGCTAATGGCTGTGAACTGTGATAGTCACAGGCTAAAGGTACTGAGCTATGATAGTCACAGGCTAATGGCTGTGAGCTATGAAAGTCACAGGCTAATGGCTGTGAACTGTGATAGTCACAGGCTAATGGCTGTGAACTGTGATAGTCACAGGCTAAAGGTACTGAGCTATGATAGTCACAGGCTAATGGCTGTGAGCTATGAAAGTCACAGGCTAATGGCGGTGAGCTATGGTAATCACAGGCAATTGCTGTGAGCTATGATAGTCACAGGCTGATTAGCTCAGGCTAATGACTGTGTGATATGCTACTGGTTATGTTATGTAATGTTTACAGACAAACAGCTGTGTGATGAAGTTGTTGCTATTATAAGTACAGTGTTGTAAATATTGGTATGATATATATTTTGACAAGTACTGTGACACATCTGATTAAATGCTTTCAAGAGTCACCATACTTGCGCTTAAACTGAGTCTAACTTAGCTTCATAATCAGTCCACTGAGATCAGCATAATGATATTTACAGTGGAATCGTGAAGTTCTGAATTAGCTCTCTCTGGACAACAACTCATGGGAATGTGTATATTCATTAAGCGATATTACACTGTACTCTTCATTCGTTAATCCAAACGTGTCAATGCGGATGATTTCAGTTGACTATTACAGCTTGGATTAAGCAGGTTTCATTGGTTTGGTTTGGAAGGAATGCTGCTTGACGTAACGTGCTTAGTGCCTGCAGCTTAAGACAAGGACCATGTTGTGTGGGGTTAAAGATCAGCGATTGCATTGTACCTTGGATGTCATGGCTTTACATAGTCATATTGAAAACAATATTTGTGATTTTCTGAACCTTGAACAAAAATTTCATGCTGTGAAAATCAGTATATTGTTTTAAATGATTCTCGTTTTGTGAACATTTTGCCAAATATTTGTTAGGAGTTGAGCACTCTCTCATCTGGAGATGTTTTGGTGGTGTATATACTGCTCAACTTTTGATAGGGAATTGTACTTTTAGGAAACCATGACAAGTTATCAAAAGCCATTTGTGTGTTTATTTTAACTTGTAAAGATAAAAATGTTTCAGTTCAACAGCAATATCAAATACTGTTTGTATGACAACTTATTGCAATCAGTATCACCCCAACTGGCTGCTCAGAATACCTTAAGAATTGTTGAGTAGTATATCATTTAGAAATTTATGAATGAAAGACAGCATGACAAGGGTACCTTTTTTATGACCTGTTATGTGGGGAAGTATGTAGCCAAACAGTTGTCAAGAATATGTTATAGATTTAAGGGGGCCAAAAATGCACCAAATTACTATATTTATTGCAGACATCTTGAAGCATGTTTCAGAAAAATGTTTTCAAAAAGACATCAGAATATCATGAGTTGAAGGTTCACAGAAGTATTCTGACTTTGATGTAGTTTAGTACAAGCTGTGAGTGTTATTGACTTACCGATGTATGCTATGTATTTAAATAAACTGATCATGTAATGAATGTCGGATTTTTCTCAGCTTTAATCCAAATGACACTTTATTTCTTGCCATAAACTTTGTATGTTTAATGTCACTTTGTATTCTCTTTTATCATATATTTATCATATATACCAATTTTGTATGCTACCTTTTGAAAAAAACAACTTTTAACTGTTAAAGTCTTTGTTACACAGTGTACATGTATTAATTTATGTAGGTTTCTTTACCAGATATTGTTTTGTGTATATATCTATAGATATGTTTTGTAAGTATGTTGTTTCTTCAGGTTGTTTATTTTGTCGACAGGATGATGAGGAAGAGTGAGCGGATCACTGATGTTTATGATAACCTGAATTGTTAAACTATATGATAGTAAGGCTGACAAGGTGGTAATTACAT